GCGGGAGAGGAGGGACCCAGCGCCTCCACCCAGAGCCCGGTGGGGAAGGAACTTCGCTGGGTGCCGTCAGGGATGCCAGAGGCTCCTGGCTGTTAAGGGTGTGACGGTGACGCCTTTTGCTCGGTCAGCTCCTTGGTGCCTTTGAGATACAAGCCAGGTGCTTCCTGGGATGGGGCCAGACCTGCTTAGAGACACCCACCCCGAAAAAAGTCTTTGCTTTCTGCTTTGTTCACAGACTTCTAGGTCCTTCCCCATGGCGAGCGCGCCTTCCTGATTGCTGTTTTTCTTTTGTGCAGGTGACAGCAGCGAGTACCCCCTGTTCTGTGTTGAATATTCCCCTTTCTGCTCTGTCTTTGCTCAGTCCCCTGTCCTGCAGCCCAATAGCAGTCACTGCTGCCTCCTCCTGCCACTTGTGCCACTGGCCCCCAAAGCGGCCCAGGACCCCACCTCCCACCTCCTTCCCTCCTTCATGAGCTACTCGCCCTCCTCTTCAGGCCCCAGGCCCAAGGCACCGGCCACCATGTGGACCTTCCCCATCTCCTGCCCCAGCCCGGCAGAGATCCCTGTGCTATGTCTACCCAGCCCCAGGAGGCCCAGTAAAATCTACCTCATGTGGTGAGTTGCCCTCGGCACAGCACGCAGCACGGGGAAAGGGGGCTGTAGGCTCCCAGAAGCAGGCAGCCAGAGGACAGTGCCGACAACTCCGCATGGTGGGCAGGGAGCAGGAAGACAGACAGCAGCTGCCACTTGCCCCAGCCTCCCTGTGCTCAGGAGGGAGTGACCAATAAAATCCTATCATCTCTCAAGACTCATTTGATTTCTTCACTCCTGTGTCTGATACACTTTGGAACCTTCCCACCAGAAATCAAACAGGCCTCTCAGTGTCTGATCATACCCAGAGTGGCTCTGGGGGGTGGCTGGGGACAGGCCCCTGTGAAAGAGCACACGCTGGGACTGAAAGCCCCTTCGGAGCAGGGACCGATTAAAGGGCGAAACCACCGTTTACATTTCCTTTCCTGCCTACTTATTAGGCACTACATTTCCCAAAATCAGAAATCCCACCTCCTGGGTTCCAAAATAAAACATATTTATGGTACATAATTAAACTTTAATTAAGATCTCCTCTGGGTATGTGAGACAACACACATTTGCAGCACAAATAGGCAAAAAGAAACGGCCTATCATTTGTGACTGTACAGAAAGCTGCCTAATGGCACCAAGGCGATGTGCTCTTGCAATTAAGCTGTAATTCTTCCCATGATCTAAAGGAAGCAATACATTGTTTTAAAAGGGCACCTCCTAGGCCCCGGGCATCCGAGTCAAGATAGTGCGAGGGAGGGATTAAAGCTCAAGAATCACATTCTTCTCTCTTTTCGGCTTTATCAAGAACCATGTCTGGGTGTGGCAAGTGATGTGAGGAACTGAACAATTATCAGGTGCATAACACAACCGGGCAGATGGACCTGGTTCAGTTGTCAGAGTCTTGCATAAACAGGAGCTTTCTACCTTTTCTTCTTTTCCTGGGCAAATTAAGAACTAGTCAGTCAGCAGCTGCTGTGTCCCAGCATTGTCAAGAGAACTGACGCAGACACCTTATATCTAAACTGCTGTTTGGTTTCTTTACTACTGGAGAAGTCAGCTTGCTCAGATACCAGGAGGAGCTGGTGTTTCATGTTGTCCAAAGCTAACCAGTCTTCCAAAGTTCCCTGAAAACTCCAGGACGTTGAGTGGCCTGGTGACAGGACTCCTGAACACAAATCTCTCCCTCCCTGTAAGGCAGAGTCTGTCCTACCACCTGAAGAGGAAATTATGTTTCATCTTCCAGTGTAAATATAACTTGGTCTTCATGAAGATCAGTAGATGTACCAGGCCATGGGGAGGACCACCCTAGAAGGGCCCCAGAGGTCTGAAGTTCGGTTCACTTGGGTGTGGGTAAGGCGATTAGGAACTGGAAGCAAGGTACACATAAGCTGTGCAGTCTAGGTCGCGTCATCTGTGATGGCAACTGCAGACAGAGAAGAGGGAATGTCTCGCAAGAGCTTGCTTTCCATAGCATCGGAAGTGTCCCGGCAGGGAAGAAGTCAGCAGGGCAGCCAAATTAGATTATAATCTTTCAGGTCATGGCCAAAATGTCTTCCTCATCTTTGTTACATAGCAAAGGTGCACAGGTTATTTCTTGAATAAATTATAATAAAAGGTTGCTATTTGCCTTTTGGATTTTATGAAAGGATTGAGGTAGAGAACAAGAACCATGCAATAACGGAGGCTGCCGAAAAAGTTGCTCTCAACCTATGAAGCCTCCAAAACAAGTTTCTGGTTAAATTCTTTTCTCATTTAAGTGACTTCAGATTTCCACTTAGGAAAACTGGTAGGAGTATTCCCATTTTACAGCTGGGAATACTGGGCTTCCAACTGCCCAAAGTCAGAGGATCCTGCCTGCACTTCCAGCAGTGATTTCCTCACTGCCAATCCTGGTTAAACAATCTCTAGTTTTTCAGCGTTACTACTTTAGTTTGCAGAACACTCAATTAGAGGAAACATGGTAATGGAAATCGTTTCAGAAATCATTGTAGAGAGCTGATGCTCAAAAAAGAGAGCTTTTTTGAACAAGGATACAAAATAACCTGGTATCTTTGGTTATCTTGGGTGTTTAGCATAGGAAAACATTTGTTCTACTTTTGGACGTCCCTGTAGTTTCAGCTGAATGAATCTTCTCGGGCCCTGCAAATCATACCAGGCAATTATTCTTGCCCTGTGCACAGGCCGGCCAAGGCAGGGGCTTACTCTAGTTAGAGAGAAAAGACACACCTCAGGCAGCTTTAGAATATTAAAATCTAAAGACCAGAGAACAGTGAAAGTTCTGGCCAAAGCAGAGTCGGAGCAGACATTATGGACATAGAACTGCAAACAGGCCTGGAAGGACTTGCTGGCTAGCCAAGGTTGGGGACGAAGGCCTTTGGGAGGGGGGATCACTCTCCGGAGAGAGTGAGGGTGTGCACGGACAGGGCCTGGGCGTCCAGGTGGTGTGACCCTCTTCCTAGGTATGAAGGCCATGTGAAAATTCTGCTGGGATTCCAGCTGGGAATCAAGGTGAATCCTTGTGACCACAACTTTTGGGCCAATCTGGAATATGCACGGAGCTTGGCCTGAGCCCCAACCCAAGCCTGCCCCTTCCCTAGTCCTCCTCCTGTTTCTTCCTTAGTAAATAAGAATCTGGCTGCCTCCCGGTCAGTCAGGTGAGAGGCAGGAGGCAGCTGTTGGCTGCTGAGTGGGGAAGGATGAGATGCAGGTGAGGAAGGGGAGCCTCCGGATGGGAGTGATGCAACTCTTAGTGCTGAGAATGTGGCTTCCCCATTTCCTCTGTGCTGGGTGCCCTACTGAAAGCCCTTGATCCCTCTCCCCTCCTCCTCCCAGTCAGTGAAATCGTGCCTAATCACCACCCTATACCCTCTGCAGAATACATCGTCATTTTCCAGAGAACTCTCTTCTCTCCTTCCTGGTCACACCCACAGCCTCTGGGCTCCATCCACTCCCCTGTCCCGTAAGGGATGCCACCAGCACCTCCCCTCTTGCAGCAAGTCCCCGTGGCTCTGGGTCCTTTCTGTCCTGGGACGCTGAGCCCACTGCTTTCCCCTCCTGGGGCCTGACAGGAGAAGTAGGCAGAACCTAGTCATTGTATTAAACTGGGCTTCATGGGTTGCCAAGAACTTTCATTAATTTCCTGAATCTGGATGAAAACTATTCACGCCACCACAGCCTACACTCTGGAACATAAATCCACTTGTCCTCACGGGCCAAGAACATCTGTGCTCTTGCACACAACTCAAGGACCCTTGTTGCCTGCTGGCTATGGCTATTTGTGAAATTTCTGAACTGTCCAAAAGGGGACATGCCAGGAAAATTCTCTGGGAAGGATTTAGCTCAGATATTCAGTTTAACTGCCTTGCAGACTTAAGAACTTGTAAAGAGGCATGAAAATTACCAAAATTCTTTCCCCAAACTCACGTGCACTGACACTTAATACATGTGAAGGAGAAACTTCATATTATTCATACCAATTAGCAACCTGATTCAAAATGTGGAATTTCAAAAATATTCATTGGGAACTCAATGCACATTAGCATTTCTGCTACTGTCTTCCTGGAAGTGTATCCTGTCAGCATACTGGTGGGTAGTGCATAAGCAAGAAAAAAGGTATATGGTCCCCAGATGCTTGGAACCTTTCTGGAAAGCCATCTTGGCTGCTAATAAACAACCTGAGGATATGCAGGTACAAAATAAGTTGTGATTCAAAACTGGAAGAGCACCTGGGGAACAGGGCTTTTGTGTGTCCCAGCTCCTGTGTAGAAGGCTCTTGACAGTTGTACTGCAGGTGTCACTGATGTTCATTAGTGGTGATAACAGCCCTGTGAAGCAGGTATTAGTCCCATGTAATGGGGGGAGGACTAAGGCTCTGAGAGATGAAGTTATTCAAGCTCACATGGCTATAAGGTTGCAAAATGAGGTTTCAAGTCCAGCTCTTTTCTGGCTACCTGAGTCCACTCTCTTACCTGCCTTCCCCACTGCTGGGCCTTTTGAGCATTATTTATGCAGAAGATGTTTTCCTGTAAAAAATTAATTATTGAATATGGAAGCAATCTAAGTGTTCATCAATAGATGAATGGATAAAGAAGAGGTGGCACATATACACAAGGGAATATTATTCAGCCATAAGAAGAAAACAAATCCTTCCATTTGCAACAACATGGATGGAGCTAGAGGGTATTATGCTCAGTGAAAAAAGCCAGGTGGAGAAAGACAAATACCATATGAGTTCACTTATTTGTGGAACATAAAAACAGAGCAAAACAGAAGGAACAAAACAGCTTTAGACTCAGAGACACTGAGAAGGGACTAGTGGTTACCAAGGGGGAGGGAAAGGGGGACTGTTGAACCACTGTGATTATATTTGATAAAATAAAATTTTAAAACAATTATTGAGAAGATTTTGCACCTTTCAGCAGCCCAGGCACCACAGATTTTATCAAGGAAGAGGAGGCCAAAGCTGGGGAGACTGACAGTCAGCTCAGAAATACAGAGACCACAAGCATCCAGGGACAGAAGCAGACAGCAGAAATTGCGGCTGCTGGCAAAGGCACCAGCCCTCAGGGGAGCAGGGAAGGTCCTGTGGTCCATGCATCTTGGTCCTCAGAGAGGAGAGCTGACCTCTGCTGTCACCTGGTGGATTCTGTATGGTTTTTGGACATTTGTGCTTTTATGTGAAATTTTGTGTGTCCCAGCTCCTGTGTAGAAGGCTCTTGACAGTTGTACTGCAGGTGTCACTGATGTTCATTAGTGGTGATAACAGCCCTGTGAAGCAGGTATTAGTCCCATGTAATGGGGGGAGGACTAAGGCTCTGAGAGATGAAGTTATTCAAGCTCACATGGCTATAAGGTTGCAAAATGAGGTTTCAAGTCCAGCTCTTTTCTGGCTACCTGAGTCCACTCTCTTACCTGCCTTCCCCACTGCTGGGCCTTTTGAGCATTATTTATGCAGAAGATGTTTTCCTGTAAAAAATTAATTATTGAATATGGAAGCAATCTAAGTGTTCATCAATAGATGAATGGATAAAGAAGAGGTGGCACATATACACAAGGGAATATTATTCAGCCATAAGAAGAAAACAAATCCTTCCATTTGCAACAACATGGATGGAGCTAGAGGGTATTATGCTCAGTGAAAAAAGCCAGGTGGAGAAAGACAAATACCATATGAGTTCACTTATTTGTGGAACATAAAAACAGAGCAAAACAGAAGGAACAAAACAGCTTTAGACTCAGAGACACTGAGAAGGGACTAGTGGTTACCAAGGGGGAGGGAAAGGGGGACTGTTGAACCACTGTGATTATATTTGATAAAATAAAATTTTAAAACAATTATTGAGAAGATTTTGCACCTTTCAGCAGCCCAGGCACCACAGATTTTATCAAGGAAGAGGAGGCCAAAGCTGGGGAGACTGACAGTCAGCTCAGAAATACAGAGACCACAAGCATCCAGGGACAGAAGCAGACAGCAGAAATTGCGGCTGCTGGCAAAGGCACCAGCCCTCAGGGGAGCAGGGAAGGTCCTGTGGTCCATGCTTCTTGGTCCTCAGAGAGGAGAGCTGACCTCTGCTGTCACCTGGTGGATTCTGTATGGTTTTTGGACATTTGTGCTTTTATGTGAAGGAGAGGGCACCTTAAAATGAAATGCTGAAGAGGTTTTAAATGCAAACTATGGATCTAGTTTCCTTCTCCAAAAAAGAATGATGGGAAAAGATAGGGCAGGGGGAGCTTATTTTTTTATTTTTTTCGCCCATTACTCCATAAGGCTCATACAATCTTCCACCTGCACCTAGAAGACGCCTTCTGTTATCCCGAGAGTCACTGAGAATTTGTCCCAACTTTCTATTCTATATTTTCTATTTTAGTACCTATTCAATTTTCTATTAGACAAGGATAAGTGCTCATTCCTGCAGTTATTTTCTCACTGGTCTCTCGCTCATTCTTTTTTGCACATTCTGAAGTGGTTTGAATTTTACCACTGACAGCTCTGAAGCAAATGTGACAAAGGGGTAATATATAGAAAGCTCTTACAAATCAATAAGAGAAGCAAGACGACCTACTAGAAAAATGGGGAAGAGGCAGAGCAATTTCACAGAAGAACAAATACAGATAGCTAGCAAATATTTCAAAAGTTCAACCACACAAAGTAACAAATGTAAATTTATATGAGGTAAATTTGGCCAGTCAAGTTGGCTAAGGTCTTGAAAGTATTACTCAATACTGACTGTGAAACTAATAACTAACACATCCTGGGCACTGTTGTGACAAGATACGATGCCAAGCCTTTGGCCTGCATTGTTGGGGATATTGTAAGTCTGGGGAGAGGAAATCCCAGGGCAAAATACCTCTAGAAACCAAAATCAGTCAAAGGAAGAAATAAAGTTTAAAATCCATTTATTGCTCACAAACTGTAGTCCTGGCTGTCTCTTCCCTGCTCCAGCAGAAGCCAAAACCAGCCCTCCCGCAGGTACAGAAAAGCCCTCCATTGCCCAGGTAATTACCCATTGATATGGAGATGAACTTCTCTCCACCCCTGAGGAATGGTGCAAATGCACTAAAGCCATACTTCTTTCCACCACTGAATGCCTATTGATATGCAGATGATATCCAGGCAAGATATTCAGGAAATGTTACAATTTTACCCACAGGCCACCCCTCCAGAAATCTCACCTTAAAATTTACTAGTCCCCCCTCTTCCGACCTATCTAAGCAACAGCAGTAAAATCTTGATAATCCTCAAGCCAGAGGATTCAGCCTATGCAGATTGAGTAAATGTACTTTACAGCACAATCTCTCACTAAGCACAGAATGTTTCTCCACTTGTTTACTCATTCCTAACAACTATGCTAGATCGCTCACAAAACTTTTACCAAACATAAGACAAAGTCAAGCCTCTCTTTAAGCATTTTTTCTTGACAACAGCAACAAAATCATGATAATTCTCAAGCCAAAGGATTCAGCTAGGTTCAAAGCCCCATGCCGATTAAGTCCAAAGATTAAGTCCGGGGGGTGCATCCAGGACACAAGGACTGTAGAAGCAAACAACCGTGATTGTGGGGGGCCACTTTGCTGTTATTCCAAGACTACACAGGAGGCCAGCTTCCAGGCCTTTTCCCCAAGGTGCTAGAAGAGCCAGCCATCGCCGGTCCATGTGTTGAAATGTCCAGGGCCACGTCCATTTTACTCCTAATTGCTGAACCCATCCTTGCAACGCATGTCCAATAAAGTGGGTGCCTTGATTGCTCTCAATCACTGGTGACTAGCTATAGGCTGCAAAGAGACACTCTAGGCCCCTCTTGGTGGTTTGCTGATCTGCACAACGTTCAGGGCACTCCTTCCGGGACCAGCTGACTTCTTCAAAGGTCAATGGCAAGCCCCACCGATGGGCTACAGTCCACACTGTTGTGTGCCCCATGTGCAACAAACGCTGATGTAGCCATTGGGCCACATCAGAGGCAAGCTTTCCTTCTAGCCAGTGCACCTGGGCCAATGCATCTGCTTCATTATTCCCTGGGGATACCAATGGCCAGTCACATGATATATGGTAGTTGTCTGGGCCATGCCACTCCGTGGCCTTTGGGTCCAGTCGCTCACCCACCCTGCGATGGGATAAGTGGTATTACCTTGGTCGGAGCTTTTCCGGCAACGGGCTCAGTAGCCAGCAAGGCGTGGTACACAGCAGCCAGTTGCTTCTCTATCAGGATGTACCAGGCCTCTGCCCATAGTTGTGAGCAGGCTCCAGCCGGGAGCAGAAGCAGCAGCAGTGGCAGAAGCAGTAGCCTTAGGCTCGGGCCACAGGCCGGGGTCGGTGCGGCCAGCAGCGGTGGTGGTGCTGTTAGGGTCCAGGAACTCAGGGTTTCCCCGAGAGAACAAAGCACACAGGCATGGAGATGTAAGTACAGGCAAAGTCTTTATTCAGCCAGCAAGCTGGGGTCGACAGCACCTCCCCTGACACGCAGGCCGAGTCCGAGCTGCCGACCCCCAGGCAACTTTAGGTATTGCTTATATAGGATTTTCACAGCTGTTACACCGAAGCCCGTGCATTTCTACAACCAATAATTTTAAAACACATTCTATATTGTAACCTTTTAGGGAACACTCCAGTTGCCTGACCGCTTCAATTGTTATCTCTTGCTTACCCAAGCATGTCTATGTGACTTATCACGGATCACGCCCCCAGGCTGTTGCCCACTTCTAGGTATCTAACTTAAAGCAGGCGCATTTCTAAGCTTAGCCTCGGGTTGTTTATTCAAAACTGAGTGGCCCATGCTTTAGGCAGTTAGGTTAAATGTTATTAGTCCTTTTTCCTGACTCTTGATGCCTTCTGCCCTCCTTTACAGTGCCTCCATGTTGGCGCGAGTGCCACTTCTCCTCATCATTTCTAGGGGCGGCCCTCCCAAGGGTTGTACCCATTATAACAGATTTTGGGTTCAGAGGAACCCTGCTGACTGCACCAGATGTAAGTCCAGGGAGAGGAAATCCCAGGGCAAAATACCTCTAGAAACCAAAATAAGTCAGAGGGAGAAATAAAGTTTAAAATCCGTTTATTGCTCACAAACTGCAGTCCCGGCCAGCTCTCTTTCCTGTTCCAGCAGAAGACAAAACCAGCCTTTCCTTTCCCCTCTCCGGTACAGATAAGCCCTCCATTGCCCAGGTAATTACCCATTGATATGGAGATGAACTTCTCTCCACCCCTGAGGAATGGTGCAAATGCACTAAAGCCATACTTCTTTCCACCAATGAATGCCTGTTGATATGCAGATGTACCAAAGCCAGGCGAGATATTCTGGAAATGTTACAATTCTACCCACAGACATGCTTTCATATCCTACCTGTGGGGTAATCTGTACAGACCAGAATTTGGCAACAAAAGGAATGTTTGTAACGTGTGATAAGTCTTTGGAAAGTTCCTACCTTTTCACCTAGCCATCCCACTCCAATGAATCTGTTCTAAGACACTTGTCAGTGCCATTTATGATGGCAAGAACCTTGAAACTATCTACCAAAGAACAGGAGAGTAGTTAAATTATGATGCATGTATATAATGTACCCTTATATATTAATTCATACCATGTTCTTGAAGAGTAATTGATGTCGGGAGAAAATGTTCACAATAAAATGTTTAGGAAAAGAAAAGAGGACATATAGTTATATATATCCAAGTATCCCAATTTTTGTATTAAAAAAATAGAGTTTTAGAAAGACAGCCCTGGGTTGTAAATTCAAATCCCTTCAGGCAACAGGCCCATAAGGCAAGAGAAATATACAACAAGGGCTGTAGGGCCTGTGGTAAATCACAACACGCTCCACCTAAAGGCACTTACTGTTCAAAGCACTGCTGCAGATGAAGTGCCCAGGAGCCTTGTGTGTGCAGCCGACCCCTAGCTTTCCGGAAGAGCAGCAAATGGCCATCGGAGTTTTGGATTATGGGTGATTTTTATTTCTTCTTCATCCTCTTCTGTATTTCCTAAATTTTCTACAGTGAACATCAACTACTTTTATAACCAGAGGAAAGCAAAAGTACGTGGCGGTCGGTCACGTGCATGAAGTCTAGAATGCATGTACAATCTTACTATAGATGGATGCTTTTTCTGGTTTCATCTCTTGCACCCAGAACATCCAGTTGTACCTCATTGAACCCCTGAACACGGCAGGGCCTTCATTCAGAGCCGGAGTCCACGTAGGGCCTCAGAGAGGCATTCAGCAGCATCTGTGGAGCCTGGAATATGAACAGCACATCCTGGCAATACCAAATTGGATGTTTAGTCCCAGCCCTAAAGCTATGAAATCTGCTCCCTATTTGATAGATGCAAGAAATTGGGCTAAAGTAGCATAAACGTAGGATGGCACAGTCTGCTACCTTTAGGGGAAACACATACATGCTCACGCATACGGGAAGTGCAGTCCTGGTGACGAGGAGTAAAGATGCCTCCCCTGGAGTGTTTCTGGATCCACAGGAGCAGCAGCCCTCCACCCAGCCTGTCACTGCTCCTGGTCCAGATGCCACGGTCACTGAGTGACAGCTCAGCGGCTTCCATCCAGTAAGCTCATGGTGCCTGTTGAGTGTCCGTTTTTCAGAAGCTGCCCTCGCTGATTCTTTTGCACATTAGGCATCTCCTGAAACACGAACTAAACTGGCTCAGGGCAGAGGAGCAGCTCCTACCATCCAGCAGGGTCTGTGTGTTCAGAGAACAACCAGAAGATTCAGGTTAGCTAATCTCTGAGGCCCTTCATCAGATTAAAAGTGAACAGTAATCAACCAGAGCTTACACTTTTGAATCTTCCAAATAACATTTTTTCTCAAAAAAAAAAAATAAGTGGGTATATATCTATATATATATAGATATATCTCGGAAGAATTCCATTGGTCCCCTAAAAGCACTGGTTCCTCAAAAGGAAAGCAGCTCCACTCCTAGACATACACAGCCTGATGCTCAGAATCCCAGAGTCGCTGACACATCTTAAAACCCATACAGGCCTGACAAGAGAGCTTAACTGATTTCTAGAAGAGGTGATGAGTAAAAACTCATACTGCATCGCTGAGCGTCCCATGCAGTTAACAGTAAAAGAGGCTTACAGAGTACTACGACTTTAGAGATGTGAGCTGGTGCCCCCCCACCCCGGCCGGGAGGCCCTCAGTTAAAGTGAGTAAGCAGTGACTGAGGTGCTTGGCTGGGCCAGAGGCTCCGAGGATTTACATCACCCCCGCCTGAGCCCTTACCATGTAGACCCTTCCAAACCTGCTCAGTCCTGTCCACTTGACAGGCCGACTGCTTTAGAATTGGAATGATGAGGTCAGCAGGGCCTCATCAGCCCCTGCAGGATCACAATGCCAGAGCAGCAGAGCGAAAGGCAGACGCCAGGCAGGAACCAAGTGTCATGAGGCAAGTACTTTGGTGCGCTGTCCACACTGAGGGAGCCCCGCAAAACCCTCCACAGTACATACACATCGCAATGAATTAAAGGGGTTCTGGTTTTCACAAGAAAATTGGAAACTTAAATTTCTCGAGGGGTAGTGCAGGACAGTGGTTAAGAACACAAGTCACGGTATCAGGCAGGCTTGAATTCGAATGATCACTCTGTCACTTAGCAGAAGCGTGATCTTGCATAAGTGACATGAACTCCCTAAGCCTTGGTGCCCTCAATTATTAGACGTTGTGATTGTGGAACCTGTTTCATAGGGTTGTAAGGCCCTGATGTATATATGTACTCCAATGAGCATGGTATATTACGCGGTGCCTGACCTGTTCAGTATCAGCCCTCATAAGTAGTACTTATTCATTATTTTTATAAGGCAACTTCTGACCAAGTGATTTCACCAACAAAAACTCCTACCCATTTGGGCATTTTACCTCTCTCCTTTTTCTATATATCCTCATACTCAAGATTCAGGAAGCGGAAGGTAGGGAGGAATTCTACTACAGCCAGAGGTTACAAATTGACAAAGAGGAGATAATGATTTCATGAGAGTTAGAATTTTTATTTACACTAAGTACTAAATGCAACCAAAATCATCAGTGTAACTGGGCACCAGCCTCCAGAGCCTTCCGCTAATTTACCAAGGTAGACTATATTTTTCTCAGGATTTTGTAATGCTGTGTATGAAGCAGGAGGGTCATAAATGTATGTGGGGTAAATTCAGATGAGAAAGCCCTAGTTTTCCTTCTCCATAAATGCTGGAATGAAAACCATCACTTAAGAGATTTTCCCATTAGCAGCCCTGACTGGCCTGGGGCTGAAGAGTCTTCCCAAAGCTTTAAGGATCTGTATCCTCAGGGCCATCCTGTCTCCCAGAACCAGCCTGAACTCCACAAATGCACAAAGGAGAATCCAGAAGCAGTAAAATGAAGCTGACCCTAGTCCACTCCTTTCATACCTCCAGCCATTTCCACCATGCATATTTTCTTCTCTAGAGCTCATTGCCTTAAAGGATTTTCACCCTTGGTGTCTGAGGCCTTTGATCCCTGAAAAAAGTAGAAAAAATCCAATAGAATGATAAACTTGTCTTTTCTCAATACAGACCCAGCCACTCCACAAGAAGGCCCAATATGGGCAGGTGATGCTAAGCTGAAGAGGCCCAGTCGAGAGAGAGGAAACGTAGTCCGGTCCTCACAGCTCATGCCCATGCCTGGGAGTCCCCCTGAGGGAGCCCGGAAAGGAGAGCCGGGTGCTCTCTCCCAGAATGAGGCACGCCGGGCCCTATCCCGGGCCTGCCAGAGAGCCAGGGGTCCTCGTGGTGAGAGAGTCCTTGGGGCCACTGCTCACAACCAGCACCGTGGGAGGGCCCAGAAGGGTGCCGTTTAGGTTCAGAGACGAAGATTTTTATTCTGTTTTACTGTTAAACTCTGGAGAAGAAAATGATGACACTGAAGAGGAAATACAAGTAGAGGAAGAACCTCTGCTGGCTGGTAAGCGCTCCCCTTGGTCTCCTGCCAGTTATAAGAGAAGTGCATTTCCTGGGACTTCGGCCACTCAGGTCAAAAATAAAAATTTTGAAGGAAATTCTGAAAATTGCAGAGTTACTTCTGCAGGAAGAAGTGAGTCCAATCATGGCTCATTAAGAAGAAGCGGTGCAGTGGGGCCAGTGACAGACCAGCCATCTGTCGGGCAAAGGGTGTTCCAAGACCCTGGGTTGCCTGATGGCGGGCCTCCTAAAGAGAATGACAGTGAGAATGAGAAAAAGACCTTTAATTCATGGGATGCCAAATTCGAACCCCGTCTAGATGGTGATCTCACTGCTGAAAATGTCTGCAGCAATTGTGCGTCTAGGGAAGACAGGCCTAGTAACCGCAGCTATGAGAGAGACTGGCAAACCTATTTAAACCCTCCTAGGAGCTCTCCTGACTACTTTGTTTCTGGCAGACCAACAACTCCAAGATCACCCATGAATTCATCTTACAACACTCCTGGATCATCAATGCACCACGTTCTGAGAGATGATATTCCAGTACGTTTGTCGCTGTCCACATTATTTCACAGTCCAGACGCAAGGGAAACTCAATGTATAATGTTTGTCAACCACTGTCGCCCATTGGGCGTAGGAATCCATTTGCCAGCACTGGAAACCACAGTTATTTTCCAGTAAACTGTGGACATGAATTTGATGTCAGGGGAGCGGAAAATATTACTTTAACAAGCCCATCTCAGGGAGCTCCATTACATATGGAAGACCTCTTGCTAAATCCTCAAAGCAGCTTGCCCTCGGTGGAACCTTCCAGCTCCTCACCATCAAGAAGGAACTTACAAGGCCACTTGCAGGTGCCTGGGTCCCTCCAAGAAAGTACACCTTTTACTTTCTTCACGGTGTCTGATTTCCAAAATGATAATGCAACCAGAATGGCAGTCTCTGGTTTCACAGATGAAAAGGAAGACATGAAAATAAAGGCAGACCCTGAGAAACTCAAGAAATTGCAAGAAAGGTGTGGAATTTTCACAATTATATATATATTCCCATACTTTTTCATTCCATTTTTCCCACACTGAAATAAGCAGTGCTTTCATTAGAGGTCATGGGAGTTTTAAAGCATAGATAGGCCCTTCCTTGACATATCAATATTTGCTTATCAAGAAAATTGTCTCTTTCGTTGCTCTTAAAAAATATATATATATAAAGTAAAGTTCAGTGTTCCAGCTCAATTTCTTCAGTATTCCCCAAGTAGTCTTTTTCCTTGAATACCATACCTTTAAGAAAGGCAAGTTTGCCAGGTGTAAGGGTTTCTGGCTGCTACATAGGGCTAGCTCTTCTCATTGGCAATTAGGAACCAAGGTTTTTTACGAAAAGGTTGCTATCTCCCCAGAGAGGGAGCCATTCCACACTTGAAGTTCACCAGCTCTCCCTCATGGGACTGTGCAAATCCAACCAACAATTCTAGAATATGAATTTTCCCAACAAAAAGGCCATCCCCAAGCAGTTACCATAGTTACCCCAGCTCTCCGAAGGGCCAGCTTCGGTAACCACCATTTCCATTTCATGTGCTCTCTATGCATAAGAGAGAAATACCACCTTTTTTGAATTGCCTTATTTTTTTAGTCTTCCCTTTCTTATGAAATGATTTGGGGATATTTCACAACTATGAAATTCGATACTTTCTAAAGCCATCATTAAACACTATGTCAGAGTTTGGCCATTTCATTTATGGAAGGAGGTACTCATGCTGATGTTCAGGCTTACTGATCCGGAAATCAACTCTCTGAACGTGGGCCCTCTTTGTGTATGTTAGTATGGCTCATTTGGGAATATCCTACTGATCCTCACTTAGAAGTGAGAAAATTCCACAGCCACAAGTTAGAATGCAAAAAAGAAGAGAACATAGAATGCATCCATACAGTTGTCCCCCCTTACCTTCAGGGGATACGTTCTAAGACCCCCAGTAAATGCGTGAAACTGCAGATAGTAACCAAACCCTATGAATACTATGTCTTATCCTATATATACATCCTTTATCTGTGATGAAGTTTAACTTCTAAATTAGGCATGGTAAAAGACTAACACTAATTAATCAAATAGAACAATTACAACAATATACTGTAATAAAAGTTATGTGAATGTGGTCTCTCTCTCAAAATATCTCACTATGCTGTACCCACCCTTCTTCCTGTGATGATGCAAGATGATCAAATACCTGCATGATGAGATGAAGGGGAATGATGTAGGCATGGCGACTAGCCTGAGGCTAGTACTGACCTGACGATGGGTCAGAAGGAGGATCATCTGCTTCCGGACTGCCACTGACTGCACATAACTGAACACACAGAGAGCACGGATAAGGGGGAGCCACTGTGCTCCTGTCTTTCCTCCGACTGCAGGAGGGAAGTGACTTCCTAGGTAGCAGCACCTTTCTTTACCAGAGTAAACAAGCCACCAGAAGGCGGATCCAGGGTTTAGGGCTGAAAGGCCTCACGCTCACCCGCCCCCCTCACCTTTACCTACCCAAAAATACAGCCTCAGACCCACTTGTCAGCAGTCTGGACTTCCGTCATCCCCAAGTGATGCCTTTAAGCTAAAAATGACTTCTTTTAAAAATGCATCCACTTTTAGGCATGATAATGCATTAAACAGCTATTATTTATGTACTTTCTGTATCAGACACTGATTTTTCAGTACATAATAAACCTTACACTTTTCTTATTGTTTCAAAAATGTTCGTTTTAGGAAATAATAAAAATATAAACTTAAAAGGAAAATCACGTGTAATCCTCTAATCCAGAAATAAGCAGTTAAAAACTTTGTTTCCAGTCTGTCATCTCTGCATATCAATGCAATTTTTAGTAAGCATTGGCTCATGTTTTATAATACGCCTTATTTTAATATTTCAAGCCCATTTCTTAATGCTACTTAACACTCTTTAAAACTTTTCCCCTTGTTAATTACTTTCAAACATACAAATAAGTAGATAACATGTGTTACACTGTAGAGAGTTAGAGATAAAATAACACTGAGCCATTCCCCACGTCAACCTTCCAGCTAATAGAATCTTACTGGAATTCATGAGGCCCTCACCCACTGAATCTCCTCATCTCCCTCCCTCCCTCTGTTCCTTCCCAACACCCTCCAGCCAGTGGAGACCATTCTCGCACTGCATTTATCATTTCTTTTTATTTTATGGCTGTTGGAGGTTTTCGGCTTTATGGTTTTACTATATGAATATATGTACCCCTAAACAATACACTGTGTTTACTTGTGAACTCTGCAGAAATGGAATCTCTTCCTCTGTGACTTGCTTTTTCCCCTTAATCATTAGCAAGATGCATCCTTGTTGGTATTTGTGGCTTTAATTTGTTGGTTTTTGCAACGACAAAGTATTCCATTATGAATATACCACAGTTTAGCCATTCTCTTGTCAATAGGCATTTGGGTTCTCCACTGTTTTCTGCAAAAAGCCGAATATTCCTGTAAATGTCTCCTGGTGCACATGGAAGGGTTCTCTGGGATGTTTATCTAGAAGTGGAATTGCTGGGTCGGCAGGTAGCAGAGCTTCCACTGTACTAAATAATGCCAATTTATTTTCTCACCAGTAATGCATATAGTTGTATACCTTATCAGCACATATATGACTGTTTTTTTGACTTTTTGCCAGTCTGATGGGAGTAGAATCACATTGTGGCTTTATATTTTCATGACTGTTAATGAGGTTAGGCATTTTATATGCTCTTTTAAATGTTCAGTGACCATTTGTGTTTCCTCTTCTATAAATTATTTGTCTTTGGCTCATTTTTTCCTTCAGAACATTTTTCTTTTACTTTAAGAGTCCTTTATATATTCTAGCTACTAATATAATCTGGCAGTTATGTGTTGGAAATATCTTTTCCCCATTTGCACTGCATCTTTTCTCTTTCTTGACATCTTTTCATGAAAATAAATTCTTAATTTTAATGTAGTCAAATATACCCATTTTCTCGATGGATTGTGATTTGTGCCTTGCCCTGATTAAGAAATTCTTTCCTAACCTGGGATCATTACAATATACTTCCTATTTCCTATTTTCTTTTGATATCTCTACAGTTTTACTTGGCTACTTGGACTTAAGATGAAATGTTAAGATTTTGGACTTAAATGTGACGTAGGGTTTGATATGTGTGAGGTACGCTTTATGAATGCCCAGTTGTCCTGGGATCTCTCCCTGCTGAACCACAGAAACATCTCTTCAAATAACACAAGTATAGATGTATAAGTCTGGTTCAGGGCTCTCTATTTCCATCCTACTGGTCTTTTTTGTTTTTCCCTAATCCAATACCACATCATCTTAGTCTACAGCTGTAGAAGTTTTGATACGTGATGGTGCAAAGCCTCTCTTCCTACATTGTTCCATAAGAGTCCTTGACTACATTCATTTAAGAATCAGCTTGTGGGGATTTTCAGCAGAATTGCATTGACTCTCTAGATTATTCTGGGAAGAACTGACGTCTTGGAGATACTGAGACTTCCTTTGATAAACATTATATATTCTTTTTTGTTTGTGCCCACAATGGAAAACTGTAAGTCTGTTCCTTTTCATTGAGCTTCTCATCCTTGGAGAGAAAGGTATCTTAAGAAACCGAGCATGCACATCATATCCAGAGCAATGTCCATTTCTTCCTCCCCTTTGATTTGAGTCCGTTTCCGTTCCTCCACCTGACAGTCCAAGGTCCCCTGAGGATTCTAAAGAACAAAAACTTAAGAGCCTCCTGACGTGAATATCACGCAGCTATCCTTCACTCACCACTTGTTAAGATGCAAACATATTTCCTTACCTTCTCCTAATTCTGTCCAGCAGTCCAGCAGCTTACTTTCTGGAATGCTGGCATTATTTGTTGGCAAGTGTTGTGTTATTGGTGAGCTCATATCCAGGTTGACTGATTCATCAGTCATCCCAACCAACACCTGCTGAGTGGTCTCTGTGCAAATACCCTGCCAGACTCTAGATGCACTTTACAGTGTGCAGAACACGTTCACCACAGTTGTTGCGTCCAGTCTGCCCACAGCCCTGTGAAGTGACAGCAGCAGGACTGTCACCACACCACGGCTTCGCAGATGAGGAAACAAACACCACGGAATCACCAAACTCACAGATTTTGGAGGCCAACCTGCCACCCAGACCCCTGACCACAAACCTCACGCCCCCACCCACAGGCCACACCACAACCTTCTCACAGCGGCTGCGCCAGGGAACAGGGCCCCAGCCGCTTCAGTGGATTCCCTGCACAACCCTCTCCCATGCCTGCAGATTCAGGGCAGCAGTGCAGGTTCCCGGGGCAGCTCGCGCAGATGGATCAGTAACTGCTGAGGGGCCCGACCTAAGGATTAGTGCACCTGTTATCAGTTACTACACCAGGATTTCAGTAGGGCTGGAGGGAGCCCAGGCAGGCGGGGTGCTGGGGTATGGCTCCCTCTCCCTGCCCCTCGATGCCCTGCAAACTGGTATTTGTGCAAACAGCATACATATGGATTCCTGGTCACGAGGGCTTGTTTTCCATTCAGTCTCTTGGAAGAGGACTCCAAGGAGGACAGCCAGGGGCTTCCCGGCCAACCCCCTGCTGGAGCCCTGCAGCTGCGTGGGGAGCCTGCGGTTCGTTCATCGCGAGTGCCTGAGAAAGTGGCTGGAAGTGAAAATAACATCAGGTAGGTGGGGAAGGAAGAGCGGCGAGCGTGCAATGACATATAATTAATAGCAGACACGGCAGCGTGGGGCTCAGGGCCTTGATGACAGCTCAGTCTCCACCAAGCAGCAGCTCGGGAATCGTGCCCCTGAGCCCGGAACGCTTGCACGCAGCCTTGATGGATAGTAGTGGGACTAAATGCTGTCTTCAAATAATGGGAGGGAGATGAATTCTTTTCCCAAGTCTGAGAGAAGATTCCTGGAGTGTGCTATTGAATTCTACCCCAACTTGAGGCTTGAGCAGAGATGCTAAGATTGCCGAACCCAGAAAAAGGTCAGCGGCTGACCCTCTGCAAGCACACAGCAGCCATGGCAGGTGGTAGACACCCAGCAAAAACAGTTCTGCTTCCTTTCATCTGTGAGGGAATAGGGGGTGTCACCTAAGAAACTGAGCAGAGATGCCTTTCCGTAGTACAGGTAGGAAAAGAGCACAGAGCTAATTTTCTAAACTACGTTAGATACACAGACTTCCATGTGCTCGTTTTGTCAGCTTTGTTTTATTAGATCTTATAACTGGGTGTGAAGCCCCTTCTCAACGTCCCGGGGACATCATAACCTACATACAGACACATCAGTAGGTCAGCTGTAGTTTTCTTAGCAGAGAATAGGACGTTTAAAACATGGTTTTTGGAATGAGAGCAACTTGAACAAAAGAAGATGGAACCTCAATGCAAAGAAGAGCTTGATTAGAAAACAGCTGCTGTGTCTTCCAGACAACGTTTTACCTCATAGCCAGACCCTTTTTCTCGCATCTCCCATGTTCTCCTCCTTGGTTAACATTCTTCCAGGCAGCCTGGAAGACTCAAGAGCTCCACCCTGTCCCGATGGGGTGTGGCCACACCCCCTCACCAAGAATGGCCCACCACCCAGTCAGAGAAAGATCCCGGGGAGCAGCACATTAACCGCTCCTCCCTGAGGCCCTTTTGCCACGTGCATCTTCCCAGGCCTGGGAAGCCCCAGACCCCTGCCCGCCCTGCTTTAATGCATCTCCACGTAGTAAGCAGAGCTCAGTCCTTCAGAGAGCAAACTAGTGGCTTTTGGCTGCTAATGATTCCACCACACAGTGCTTTATCTTATTAGAAATTTGGGCCAATTAAATATCTAGCACAGAAAAAAATTACTCATGAAATACATGATTGAAAGTGCTGCTAAATGCTTGTGAACGCCAGTGTCAGTGCGGAGATGTTGAGAAGGATTAGACTGGAAGACACAGGGGACATTCAGTAGCCTAAAGCATTACAGAATAATGCCAAAAAAGCCAAGCAAACAACAAGCAGATAAGGGATTACTGCTCATCCCTGTCCTTTGAAATTCTCCATTATTTACTATTTCTTTATATCCTCAGTGGAGACAAAGCAGAACTGAGGTATAAAATGGCATACACCCTCTCTTTACCAAATACATTCAGGTAACTCAGGAATCCTCTATATTCTAGTACATAAAATAAATGCCAGTATACCATCAGCCAAAAGGCAGCCCCCCGGGGGGTGGGCGGCGGGCAGTGGGGCAAGGCAAATGGCATACTGTTTGCTTAGACATAACAGCCACCGTTCTGCGCCCTCCACTTTTGCACTCAGGAATAAGATAAGCAGAGAAAAAATGGGGATCTAAAAATGCATGCTTAAAGAAAAAAAGTAGCAACCAAGGAAGGCTTTTCCTGTTTCTTTTCCCAGATGATGCACTCCGGCTCTGTACTGAGCCAAGATAGTGTGGTACTAGTTCCCACACACGGCCCCCAGCTCACTCACTTCTCGCAGGTAGGAAGTCACCTGGGCGTGAGTAAAGGAGGGTCTTTGGGCCACAGACCGAGGAGCGCTGCTGCCATCATTTTGGTCCTCACTAATTTATTTGCTTGGACCTGTGTTAGGTCTGCCAGAAAACAACAACCAAGGCCCAGTATTCATCCTTTTGTCAAACGCCTGTGTGACATACTCTCAACCTTCATGTACCAATTCCAGTTTTATAGACCAGCATGTTTATATTTAAACAGAAAGCAAGACCTGTTATTTAAAAGTCCTGGGAGTTTGACTTACACGTGTAAGGCTGGAGGCACTGGAGGGAGGAAAGTGAGGGCAGTGCAAACGGAACAAGGACAGCACCAAATAGCTCTGTGCCATATAAGGAAGGAACGGACAGCTCTTCCTGGACTCCAGTCCCGTGACGTGCCGACAAACCCCGGATGCAGACCCCCTCCATCCGGAAGGAAGAGACCTCTGGCTGTCCATCACCAATAAAAATTCCCCACATACCCCTGGCGCGGCCCACTTCCCCCTCCACTCCCTGTGCTTATAAAAACTCCCCACCTATCTGCTTAGGGGTGACTTCTCCAGCCTGTGTTTCAGACTGGTGAACTTCGCCAGGAATTGTGCTCAAATAAACTGCCTGGCCCTTTGTTGTCTCTCATCGCCTGCGTATTTCAGTTAGAATTTATCTTACAATATGAAGCTTGCATAATAATGAAAATTACTACAAAGGAAAATTTTCAGATCTCAGATTCAAGGTCATTTACTACATAAGATGGCTAACTTTAAAAAGAAGGCCACTGAAACTCAGAATTCATAATACACTCGCTCTTTAAATGCCAGCATGAAAAGACTCAATGTATCAACACAAAAAGATCCAGGGTTATTTGTGACAAAGAACTCTTTACTTTAAGGAGCGGATCTAGGCACCGTGAAGACCTGCAAGATGTGTAAGCGAGACCTGCTGGTTGACCTGGATGACTTTAACGTGACCGAGTTCTACCAGAGGCACCAGCATTCCCGGGTAAGAGACGCTCACTGCACTCTGCCTCAGAGGCCAAAGTCAGTGAGTGCAAGGTGTGAGTGGGGAGGAAACCCTCACCCTGATACAAGGAATGCAGATGGTCTGTGCATGGAGTGAGTCTGGGAGTGTCTGGCTGGTTCCCTCCCCTGAGAAGGCCTGTTACTGAATCGGACACTTGGAGGGTGGGAAAGTCCTGGTGCCCCAGGCTGAGGCTCTGCAGCCGCCAGGGACGAAAGCGGGAGGCTGCCTTAGCTGACTGGACACATAGAAGTAGGAAGAGCCTGGCAAGCTCCACACCCAAATTTGCCAAAGCAGTTTAACAGCAACAGGGGAAAAAAAAATCAAGGTCTTGGAGGAAATGATCCTCAATTTATGTATCAAGAAACTCTGGGGGTAATAAGAAACTGCTTTATTCGAGATTAATAAACATGTAGTAAGCACCTACTGCATGCTTTCTAACACCTAGCGCACTAATTCTTCTGGGGCATTTGGACTGCAATTTTAATACTGTGAAAGTTAGTTAACCCTACAAGGGAAGGTGATCCGTGCCCAGGATAATAATTAATTGCCTAACTCTCAGGCAAACAATCTTCTATTTAGAACTGCACTGTATGGAAGCCACAAGCCACAAGTGGCTGATGAACAAGTGGCTACTTCTAATTGAGATGTGCTGTGTCAAATACATACCAAATTTCAAAGACTCAAAACAAAAAGAAAAAAAGTGTGAAAAGGTCACATACTTTTATATTAATTACATATTGGAATGGTATTTTTAATATATTGGGTTAAATAAAACACATTGTTAAAATTCATTTCACCAGCTTATTTTTATTTCTTTAATGTGGCTACTAGGACTTGTCAAATTACTTATGTAGCTTGCATACGTAGCTTACATTGTATTCCTGTTGGCTGGTGCTGATCTAGAAGGTGCCTTGCATATAATAAGCAGTTAATAAATATTTATCAAATGAAAATCCCATGATTACCATTATTATTTAAGACTGGCCTCCCCCAAAAGATGATCAGAAAAAAATTATTTAATAACCACAACCACAAAGCACATACTTATAAAACTATAAAATCAATGTTAGCAACTAAAATGTCACTCTTCAGCATAGGAGGCACTTGGCTTTCAGATCATTAGCCTGTATCTAGACCCTTTTGTGCAAAAAAGCACACCTGAGTCAAAATGGTGCATGTGAGTCTCAGCAATTCCATAGCTACCTTTTTAAAATTCTAAGGCTACTAGACAAAAGAACAACACAGTGGTAAGAATGGAGATTTGAACAGCAGAACCAGTAAGTCTGTTACAGTGGACATAATGCCACACCAGTGTCACAAAGATCAGGCATGAAGGAGCAGAAGGAAGGAAAGGAGGGGGAAAGAAAGGAAGAGAAAAAGAATTTCCTGAGAAATTATTTTGTGTTCATATATCTGGAGACCTGAGGGTCTCTAATCACTCAGTCATGACCCCCTGGCACCGAGAGCTGAGATGAGAAACAGAAGCAACTCCCAATCTTGGACCCGGAGGATATTGGAGTAAACTATCAAAAGGAACCAGGTCCCCTGAATGCCTGAGGTCAGAGTGCAGACAGGTTCCATGTGGTCACCTCAAAGGATAGATTGTTCCAAGAAACAGAGCCCGTCAGACTTCTGGAGGACATATCCAGATGAGGCCAGTTTACCCAGAATATCACCAGAACGGGCTGCAGACATCACAGCACCATGCAGCACAGGGGAATGCCTCATCCAGGAAAGACCCCCGTTGGTCCCAAGCATTTCCACGTGTTGTCCCTCTGCAAAGCTTCTGCTGCCACCAAATACTGGTGTTTGCAAAACTGACTCACTGAGAGCACATTTTTCCAGTTGTACTAAAATGTTTGCACTCATAGCCAGAGGCAGCCCACCCCACCGAAAATCACACCAGCTTCGGCTAAGATGTGAACCTAAATCCCATTCCCTTTCCCAGAGTTGCCATGTGACTGTGGGGAAACTACACAAACTTTCCGGATCACAGTTCTCTCATCTGCAGCAAGCTGGAGATTATAATTCCGACTTCACAGCATCGTCTATAGGAAAAGACCTAAGCACATCACCTCACACAGTGCCTGAGCAGAGAGGGTCTTGGAGGAAATGATCCCTAATTTATGTATCAAGAAACTCTGGGGGTAATAAGAAACTGTTTTATTTGAGATTAATAAACATGTAGTAAGCATCTACTGCATGCTTTCTAACACCTAGCAAATTAACTCTTCTGGGGCATTTGGACTGCAATTCAAAAACTGTGAAAGTTAGTTAACCCTACAAGGGAAGGTGATCACATGATGAGAACCCCATCTTACAGCCCCAGAGATGCCCAACCCCTGTGGACTCAGTGGAGAAAGCTAAGCACACCAGGTCCAGGCCTGACGACCATCGCTGAACAAAGCCAACCAGCCCTCACAGGGGTCACGTCCTGGGCCTCACTGCATCAGACCAGCTGAAGAACCAGCTACAAACACATTGTGAGAAGAACTGTGAAAGCAATTGTGTCAGCAAGGAAAGAGATGGTGGCACACTCAAAGGGTGAGTGATGAGAGGTCAATGAAGGGCAAAACTGTGGGCAGTTAAAGAAAGCAACAAGGAGCAATGAAGCGTCCTGGGACTGGCAATGTGAACTCTCCCAGACCTGAAGCAACAAGGAGAGCAGGCAGTAGTTACCAGGGTCAGGAGAGTGACAGTCACAGGCGAGAGTCGCCAATAGCCTGTGATCGTCAGTAGACGAAAGCAGCCATCACCACACCCCTGCCCAGCAGAGAGGGAACAAGGGGCATGATTACCCCAGCCTCTCCCTCCTAACCACCCTCTGGTTTCCTGCCAGGGCCTCCCACTGGCCAATCCTAATGGAAAGCCGGAGGACAAGGGGGTCTAGTTAATGCAATTCATTGAGATCAGCCTTTAGGCCACAGAGCAGGATGGAAAGTGGATCTGGAGGGGAAAACGGAAAATATCCAGCACCGTAATCACTCTACATGGAGGCAGAAACAAGTTTAAATTAGCTTCAGTGAGAACTTGACAGGTCATCAAAGCTTTTGAAAATACCCTTCATTATAATCACAGGTAGAAACCAGATTGACAGACCCACCCCAGAAACACAAAGGTCCCAAGAACCATGTGCAATATTTATCTGCTGATGGAAAGCAGCTGAGGGCTCACACTTTTACAGCAGTTCTGACTGCTCTGATGGCCCGTTGTGAATTTAATGGTGTCTGTTTGCTAACAGTCTGAGTTAACTTGAGTCACTAGTTATAAGGGACTTAGACTAAGTTCAGAAACTCTCCATGGATCAAGATATCAAGAATGCAATACAACCTCAGTGGGTCCCCACCTGGGAGGCCCCTCGGCCTGGCCCTGGAGCTGATGTGTGCACCTGCACTTCTGCGGGCCAGGCCCTACCCCTGCCTCCTAAACCTTGGTGGCTCTGGGTGCTCTTGGCCAACCTGCAGTGCTCTTCCAACAGGTCCCTTCCCGAGAAGCAGGGTAGCTGGTACCAAATACAGACATGTACAAAGAAAGGGGCAACACCAGAAAAAGCCTAGAACTGGCTTCAGCTCAGTCTGGCTCTCCCTTGACCTTTACTAACTAGCTAGTAAAGCCACTAATTTATCAACTCATTCATTTTTCCCATTCAGATTTATTTTTGCTTTTCCTTAATTATAAAAATCATGAAGATACAAAAATCTCCCATAACCAAAATGAACATTCAGCTGCATGTCTTTTTTTTTTTTTCCTATTAAATTACTGATGCTTGGGCCCAGCCCTCAGAGATTCCGATTGAAATGATCTGGGATGGGCTCAGGCTATCCATTTGTTTCAAGTGTGGCAAAACACACAGAAGAGTTTGACTTTTAGAACCCATTTGGATGCATGTCTGTGCCTCCTCAGCTGGAGATGCCGTGGTGCCCAAGACCAACGCAGTCACGGCTCTGATGCAGAAAACCACAGCGAGTGGTCACCCTGGCATGGGAGGATCGGAACTAGGGTGTGCAGGCCGCTGTGGGAACTGAGGGTCTGACCCACTGAGATGACCTCCCTGCAGGAGAGACATTTAAGACCAGGAAGGAAAAAAAGGGGCAAACCCTCTATCCATGTGCCTTTGAGGGCAAAGTCTAAGATATCAGAGACAGACCGCACTTGGGATCTGCATGCAGATGGCGGGGTGCCCATTAAGGGCGCAGTCAGCACTGGCAGTGGTCTCTGAGGGTGTGGAGAGGCTTATGTCTGAGTATGTTTCCTGGTTTGGTTCAACGCAGATGAGTAGGGGCAGGGTGAATGCTATGGGCCTAACAGGGTACTGAAATATGATTATCCCTCTGAGACATTAGGTGGTTCCCATAGGGTCAAGACTGGTTACTAGGCTTCCAGTGGCTAGATTAGAAAGTTCTGAGGACTGTCTAGAGAGTGGTCCCATGAAGCTAAAGCAGCTTTGGGGCCCCAGGACCAGGACTAAGCACCCAGGGGCTGCTGATACCTGGCAGCCCAGTCATAGGCCTGTAGGGCCTCCTTTCCTCCTTATTCAAGGATGCCTGAAAATCAAGCCCAACAGGCCTGCGGCAGCCTCTGCCCATCAGCAACTGCACACCTCCTCCTGCATGTGCGCTCTTGAACTGGGAAGTAGGACTCTACTGGATTCTGGTTGGGGCACTTGGTTTTTGAGTGGAAGAAAGAACTCCTAGGTAGCAACATTCCAGGCTCCAAAAAGGGCCAGGAGAAAACAGGTTTAAGAAAAGTTTAAATCACAGATTGCACATACCATAGAGGCCAGGCAGCTAACATGGACAGAATCTTCCAAGAGTCACAAATAGGGAGTGGTGGCAACTGTGGCAAATGGAGAATACTCTCTCCAGCTGAGGAAGTTTATGCTGTCCTTCCTTCCAGCCAGAGCACATCCAAAGGTCAGATTCAGCCTATGGCTACCTGCTGATCCTTAGTTCACAGTAGTGGTTCTCAAAGATGGGTGGTCCTGACAGGTAGTATCAGCATTGCCCAGGAATTTGTCAGAAACGCACACTCTTGGGTCCTACCCCAGGCCCACTGAATCAGAACCTGGTGGGGAGGAGAGAGCCGGCAACTGTGTTTTAAAAGTTCATTATTCATGTTCAAGTTGGAGACACTAGAGTCAAAAGTCATGGCTGAATGGGCCACTGTCTGGTCCAAAATTGTACACTTTTTTCTCATTCTTTCATCTGTACACATGTTTATGGAGCACACACCATATACTGGGCTAGGCACAGGAGCACAGGGGCAGACAAGACACATGTGGTCCTTGCTCTGAATCCTATCCTTAATCCTTGCCTCATGTAGGATGATTTTGTTTTGCAAAATACTGTGTCTACTTGTATTAGCTCATTTTGCCTTAATGCCTTTGAAAAACAGGCAGAAGAGAGGGTAAGTCTACCCTTTTATAAAAAGAGTCACTTTGGCAATGCCCAGTTAAAACTCTTGGCTCAAAGTCTTAGTGCTTGACAGTGCCCCAGGCTGCCCATTCTGGGGACCTGCACCCACTGTGTGACAGAGAGGTGCTCTGCCATCATAGCTCGGCAGCAACAGGAGGCGCTCAGCGGGCCTCTGGCTGCCGTTGCTCTGAAGCGCAGGCATGGCCTCGCTCCATCTCTGCCGCGGACAGATGTCCTTGGACACATGCAGTCCCCTAATCACCCTCACACCTGGGAGCATCTCTTGAACATATTTGAAGACTTGATAGAAGTTCAGGCAGGCTGTCTGCTTCTTTGAGTGGATTATATTGAGCATTTCCATAGGCAGCAAATCTCTTGGCTGAAATGAGTATTAACAGAATGAAGGGGGAGCAGGAGAAAAGAAAGAAACACACTGGGCCGACGGGCTGACTGCCCCAGAGCTCTCGTCCACTGTTTCACATACCTCCCCTTTTCCAAGCCCCCCCACTCCGCCCCTCCTCTCCCTTCACTGCCCAAGGGCGGCAAAGTGTAATTTGATTGGGTCAGGGGAGGGGCAGTCAGGAGTAGCTCCAATAAATACCGCTCCAAAACCCAGTTCATTTTGCCCTGGCTGCACAAACACCATGGAACTCTCTCTGATAACAAATCCCTCCCACTTGTGGCTCGGAGCATAAAAGATGACTGAAACACCTGCTCTGATTGGCTGGCCCAGCCCCTTTGTCAAGCATCACAAGTTCTGCAAAGGGCACATAAAGGAGCCCAGCCAAGGAGATTTATGGCGCCGTGTGACAGGTCCCCTCCCACAAACCAGAGAAAAGACACAATCTACTAGAAGTGACTTTTCAAATTATCTGCAGAAAACATTAGTGGATATTTTCCCATCTGCATGCCTCAGGCCTTATTGAGTCATAAAAAGTAAATAATTTCCCCAAATGCTTTGACAAACCTGATAGTTCCAAGCCATTTTCTAGCTGATTGGTTTTCCATTATGCATTGGAGTGTCTATGAGCATAAAGGAGGACTGGCAAAGAGAGGGCTGGAGATAAAACCACCGGCAGCTTGCAGGCGGCGGCCAAAGAAAGCAAACAAGGAACGAGGCTGGGTGGTGTAGTAGGTTAGGAAGGCTTCCCAGAGGCAGTGACTTGCGAGACAGACCATAAAGGGAGCACCCATTCATGGGCAAGGTGGGAGGAGGTAATTAAAACAGAAAAAAGTAAAAACAAGCAATTTCCTCTCTGCCCACTCTCAGCCAAGGTCAGAAGAGCACAGAAAACATGACCAAAGGCTAAAAATAGGAGGCTAACTGGTAAGGAGAGTTGCCTTGAGCCCTTAAAGAGAGTTCTGTAGGATGGCGGAAGGGCCTGCAGCAGTGACCTTGGGGCCTGTGGTCAGCAAGTTCCGGAGGTGGTCCCCATTCAGGAGGAAGAGCACATCCATCCTTGCTCAGCTTGGGCACCTCTTCTGGCAGCTATTTCACCCTGGAAGAAGTGTGTTCTGCGCCAGCTTCCTGAGCTGCCCTCAAAAGGGAACAAGTGCCTTGGGCTGCTGCGGAAGGAGGCAGTGCTGAGGTGGCCACTGTGTCAGGTCTGAGCTTTGGCCATCCTGGGAAAGTGGCCACAGTTCTGACCTTTCTCAAGGGTGAAGTGAAGGATGCCTTGGCTGGCATTTTTAGATGCCCTGAAGCTTCCTGAGCACAGTCATGATCCCCCGACCCGTGGGGATTTGACAGGAGGACAGATGGGGAAATAAAGTGGCAGACAGGGAGGGGTCATGACTAACACGGCCAGTTTACTAAAGATCTGGGAAGGGTCCACAGCACGGACCACCAGACAGCCGGGAACAGAGGTGCCGTGGTCAGCCAGACCACCAGACCCTCCCTGTGTACCTGTGTTATAAGCACCAGCAGAAAAACAAAACACAGTCCACCCACCAAGAAAAGGTAAAAACATTAACAAGTGCAAAACACAACAAGTACAAAATAAAAACCTAGGAGTCAGGGAGCAAAGGATTGATTGGAACAAATCAGGTCCTCCAGGAAGGCTTCTGAGGGGACTCTGAGACAGCTGTAAAGGATGTCGTGGGCACAGTCTGGTAGAAAGACAGGAGTATTCAAAGCAGTGGCACAAAAGCAGGCCCACAGACCACACAAGAGCCTGAGCAAATGCCCTGAGGTTGGCAGGGCCATCGGCGACCCTGCAGGGTCCAAGCTCCCTGGGGGTAACATGGTGCCAGAGCATCCAGATGGAGCCTATGTGAGGCCATCACTAAGCCCAATTGTAAGGGAGAAACAATGCGAGTAAGGCCTGGGCCCTTTCTCTGGGTAAACAAGGGATCTAGGAAAATAAAGTGCCCCTCCCCTGCTCCACAGCTGGTGGCATCTGTGTCCCAGACTCTCCTGCAGAAAAATTTGCCTTTCTAAGACACCCAGCACTCCTTTGCTCAGAGGCCCATAGCTTCACACATCCAAGCAGCATGACGTCCAAGCTCCGCCATCCTGTGGTCCCACCTCACTGTCTCCCCAGTCTAAGCCAAAGTTTTTTCTAAAGTCCAAAGCAAACATTCCCCTTATATTTCAGCCACACCACTGAGTAGGGAATTTCGCCCAACAGATGTTCTCTCTGCTCTTTTGCCTTCACTGGCATTCCCTGCCTCTGCCTGAAAGGCCCTAGCCACCCTCAAAGTCCCTGCCATCCTGGAAGGACCTCCAAGAAGTCTTCCCCCACGTACACTCAATCAGTCTCTTTCTTCCCCCTTTGCACCTCCAGCATAGCACTTGACACACCAGCTCGTGTTGGAGCTGCTCATGAATGAGGCGCTTCTGCATCAGATGATGGGGTCCCAGTAGAGAGCTACGACCTTTTGCCCTGAGCTCCCTCCAGCACCCAGCTCAAGGCTCTGACACATAACTGCTCAAGAAATGCTCAGGGCATGGGACTGAGCCTGCAGCCCAGGGGTTTTTCAGAGCATCCTCCAGGAAGGCTGCCCAGCCCCCACCCTGGATCCCTTCCTGCTCTGTTCTTTGTTCCCAAGGGTAGGCATTGCCTGGGGGCTCGGGCTCTTGTTCCATTTCTTGTTCCATGGCCTTGATACCCTCCACCCCATTATTTAAATCATGAATACTTTTAGATGAAAAGTAAGAGCTTTCTCTTCCATATTTAGGCACAAAATGAGCTGATGAATTCGGACTTGTACCTGGTGCTGCTGCCTCACCTCTATGAACAGAGGTTTGCAGAACTCTTGAGACTCAACTACAACCGGGCTGCAAGAGAGAGGGTAAGTCTGGCTCTGACCTGGACTGTCCTGCAGCCATCCCCCAAGTCCTGCAGTGCTGTTTATTAGACGTGCAGTCTGCTGAGGTTCTCACAGTCACTTGGTGGGACATGGCACTGTTATCATTAGGACTAAGATCTAGTGGCTGCTAAGTGTATGCACAGTAGCCTTCTGGCTGAAAACTAGTGATACTCACATAATTGCTTACTATGAAACATGAGTAGTAATTAAATGGACAGTAATGGTTACATAAGAGGACATTTGGCCCCCAAAATACAGGCAGGCCTTCAAAGCTACCAGGGCTGGGGGTGGTTTTGTGTAGGCTTGCCCACTGCCCAAGCATGGGGGCTGTGAAACCAGGGACCTTCCCCCATAGGAGAGCTGTCGGTTTTGCTTTTGCTTTGGATCCCAGTTTGAGTGCATGCGCAGTGTGTATGTGTGTGCTGATGGTGTCCCATCTGTCTTTAGAGAAGTGACAGTGTATTTACCAGGAATGATGTGTGGCTCCTCTTCCTTGAAGAGGACCAGGTGCCTTCTAAGGGGCTTTGTGGTGTGGAGGGAGAAGCCCAGACCTACGACTCGCTGGAGCCTCATGTGGACTTAGCAAAGTCAACCAAAATGTGGGAGGTGGACAGGCCTGCCTCTGAAGCGTCCACGTCCACTTGGTCATCACTGAGTCAGTCAAAACTCTGCACCCCAACAGACTTCTCTCTTGGTTAAATGCCTCCGTGTGGCCTGACAGAGGAACTTCCTCACCTTAAGGTCATGACAAGGGCTGACACAGTTTTAGTGTTTTGGATTCCCAGAACACGCCTCGAGGCTTGAAACTTGACCTCTGTTCATGTCAGAAGGTCATCACTGGAGAGCAAGCCAGTGCAGCAATGGACAACTACCAGTGGTGCCACGGCAGCTTAGGTGACGCTTCACCACCCTGTCCCGCGTACCTCCCTTTTTTCTCTCTCTCTTCTCTGAGTCTCTCTCGTCTTCGACCTCAGGCAGACAAGAGGCATCTTCTGGCACCAGCCACTGCCTGGAGGTCAGAACCCAGTGATCCCAAGTGTTCATCACACTGCTGTCGACCGTGCACGACTGAAGGCTGTCACGATCCATTTGGAGCCATCACTGTTTAAAATGCTGGGTTCAGACCTTTAGACATAAGAATTCTGAATTTATCCCTATTTTTTTCCTGCTTAAATTCTTCCCTCAGACCCTAAGCTCTCAATTAAGAAAAAGGGTTGGGTCTTTGCCAAGATATCTGCACAGGAATCTCACCCTCCTTTTGACCCAGGCCTGTCCTTCCTTTAACTCTTCCGTAGTTTTAATGGTGACATAAATTCCTCCAAGAAATACATTTTTTTAAAAGAGAAAGAAAGAAGAAAGTACAGGAAGCAGGAAATGATCCTTTGTTAATATTTCTGTAACCTCATTTTCATGATTCCACATCTTTTTAACGAACTTTTTATTGCACGTTGAACTTCAAATCACCCAGGGTTTGACATAGGTTACAGAGGGCCGCAACATCAGCAGGCTAGTGCGAGCGACGTTAGCCTCCAGGACTGCAAAGCAAACATGAGAAGACTTCAAACAGTACGACCCACTGGATGGAAACCAAGGCTCTCCAGCTTTGACTCTGAAGAACTGTCTGGTAAAACTGTCCTAGAGAAGGAGCAAGGGGCACCAGAAGGGAGCAGAAAGGACAGGGCAATACTCCTCTCTTACCGCAAGCTTACATTCAATTTGAGAAGCCCTGACATAGATCTCACCCGCTGAAACCACAGAGCATTGACCAGTACAAATAACCAGTTAAGAAGTACCCAAGAGGAAAGGAGGAAAAGAAATGCCTATTGTCAAACTCACACCCTTCTGGATTTGAGTCGCCGTACTTTTTGTAGAAAATACTCAAAATCTGAGGGTAACATTTAGCAAAAGAGAGGCATTCTGTTGGGAGAGAAACCCTCCTTCCCCTCCTTTACCTACCAAGACTGGAAAACCCATTCATGTCGGGTTTCTTGGTTGTGTCTCAATAAAACAGACAGCCAGGGGTGAATGCCTGTCACTGGTGGTGTTCATTTATTTATTCATTCATTCATGCCCTGAACTGTATCAGGTGCTGAGATAGGGATCAGAAAAAGCAGCTGATGCCAGACAGGATGCCATAACATCCCTTTCTTTGAGGAGCTTATGATCAACTTGGAAAATGAGCCACACCTATTTATAAAACCAGGAAATAATTGGAAAGTAGCACTTTCAAGAGCACCAGTGGGCCCAGTAATTCCCAGAGGTTGTTAAATTGGCAACACAAGATCTTCACTGGCTGGGGCTTCCTGGGGTTTCCAGCAATACCATAAACAAACAATTTGTCTCCCAGTGAGGTTGTGAACTACATGAAGGCAAAGCTGAGCCTTCTATACCTGTCTATCAAGATGCTGGGCACACAGTGAATCACATTTGACTGCTGACCATGTCCCAGGCACTAGGGATGCCAGGAACACTGAGTGATGACAAAAGTGCCAAATGACTGCCAAAGAAGGATGTGGTCTGCTGGGGGCTTGGAGGGGGGCTCACTGGCAACTTGGGCATGGAACCCTTACCTCTCTTGTACCCCACAGTCCTCCAGGGCCTAGAAAATGCCTGGCACATAGCAAGTGCACAATAACCTTTGATGCTCAATGAACTAATGAGACAAAACCCACTTCTTCCAGGATATGAATCTTGACTTACATTTTGGAGAAACTGAGTACAGATTCGTGGAGGGAAAGGTATTCTAAGCAAAGGAACACTCCCTAGTTCAAGGTATATTTATTAATTCAAAGATTTTCTGTGTGCGTACTATGTGCCAGGTTCTAAATTCTGGGAATACAAATATGACTAAGATAGTTCTTGCCTATGTTGGACTCAGACTAAATCAGGTTACATCTTTGATGTAACCAAGAGCATCAAAAAATGTGCTCTGTGTTATGATAGAAGATCGAGCCAGATGTGGAAGAATACAGAGCAGTTAGAGGACTTGAGGAGCCACCATTCCTGTCTGTCCTTCCACTCCTTCTCCATAACAGACTCTCCAGGGCTTCAGGGGCACAGCCAATGTTTCAAAAGGCTTGCCTTCAATCCAATCATGTTGAACTCCCACTGCTTCCATTATTGTTTGTTTTATCAACTCATCAGCTGAGGAGGTGAGGTTTGAAGTCAGTCTTGTAGAGTTTAGCAGATGGACAAGGATGGCGGAGAGGGAAAGGGCATTCCACACAAAAAGAAACACAAAGGCTCAGAGAAATGAAGACTCATGTGTTTGGGAAAGTCAAGTGGCTGGAGCTGGCAGGAAGTGAGCCTGGAGGTACAGGCAGGGAGCAGGATGTGAAAGGTCTGTGTGCCCACCGAAGGGCGTCAAGCCTGGGCCTGGCAGGCCAGGAGGTTTGCAGTTTTGAGAATTAACAGGAGCAGCCACATGGAGGGTGAACTGGAGAGGGGAGAAATCAGCTGAGCAGCTGTTGCAATGGGAAATGGTAAGGGGGCTCATGTGGGGAGCACTGCAGATGGAAAGGAAGGATTTAGGGGGGCACAGAGTGAGGCACAGGCTGAAGGAAGCATTGATTGCTATTCTCTGCAAGTGCCAAGCAGGACACTGGCCCTTTCTCACTTCAGATGCTGATGGAAGAGCATCTCCAGAGAACACACAAGCCCACAGCTTCACTTGATCCCACTAGGCTCACCCTTTAATCTGATGGACACAGTGCTGTCCTGGATGGCGAAGCTGAATGGACTTGCCTTCCCTCCCCTCTTTCCCTTTCAGCACCCATCTGGGCACTCAACTGTTGAGGGCTGTACGTTTCTGGGCTTCTTGCAAGCCACAGGTTTTGTCTGTACCATGCTCTCCATTCCCCCAGTGAAATGTACCTGCACCAAGTGCCTCTTGCCGCCTGCCCGGGCACTCCCCATACTCCTGCAGTACTTAACTCACTACACTAAGTAAAACAAAAAATATCTGTCTACATTCTAAAAGGCAGAGGCCAGAAGGGCCCCCAGGCCTTCCATGGATCTTCACAAGCTCTTGCTGTCCCAGAGTGAGTTCCCACCTTTGCCTTCAGCTCTAGGTGTGCAGAATTAACACTTTAACTGCAGGAAAACATTCACATATATGAACCTGGCAAGGAGTGGCTGGCCTGGGAGGCATGAAGGGACTTGGAGTAACTCTGAAATCCCACTGACCATTCGTGTGTGAAGCTGGGTGGTCTTTCTCCAGGCCCTCCCCGTTCACACCATTTTTACAAAACCCCAAACTGGTATCAAAGGGCCCAATCTACCCCTAATATTCAACGTCCAGGCGTGGCTGGCCCACAGGTGGGAAAACGTCTCTACTCACCAAGGCGGTGTTCCCGATGGACTGTGAGAGTTGCTTTACGTAGATGCAGTCACCAGGTGTGGAGTCTAGAAGCAGGTTGGGATGAGGTCGTCTCCACAGCCTGGAGCAAACAGAGGCTGAGGCCACAGGTAGCATTCCTGAAGCATGATTTGCCAGGTCTCCATGGTACTGCTTCTCCAGGAGGGACTCCATCCTTCCCGGCCCTCCCCCTGGCCGGCTGGTGAGAGGGACCCGGGGGCCACAGCTGTCTCCACACAGGCCAGGCTGTTGCCCCAGTAACAGTGTCTGGCACCCCTTGTTTATCCTGTTACAGAGCCCTTCTTCTCTGGGGGAAGAGCCCCAGCCCTTCAGTACCAGAGCAGCATCCTTACAGCCTGGCACAATGGGCTCCCACGGAGCACACACTGTTTCTCATTGTGGCATAAAATGCCATAAAGTCAGAACAAAGAGGGAGCCCAGAGCCTTGATGGGCCTGCTGCTTCCTGCCAGGCAGAGAATACAACTGATTGTTTACAAGCCAGTGGTGAGGCAAGTGGCCAATTAGCCCGGCCTTCACCCCCGGCCGGCCTGCCGATGTGGTTCGGACCATCAGAATGGGATTCTGCTGTTCAGATCAGTTGCTGAAAGGAAGCAAGTCTGTTTACACTGCCGAATGTAGACGCCTCCAAGCAGCAAAGGTGACCCGGGCTTTCACTGCGGCTGTCCTCGGGGCAAGGCTAAGTAAGCACTGGCAGGGCACATCAACCCACATCACCTTGCCCGTTTTCTCTGCCCCTTTAAGGTGAGGCAAGGGATTCCCAGAACATTCCCGAGGCCAGGGAACTATATACATCTGTTCACAAGTACTTTGGAAAAACAATTCATTTTTCATTGTCTTCTTTCTCATAGTTGTCAAGAAACTGCCCACAGCCCAGACCGGAGGAAAATGAAAGTAGGTTTGGGGGTCAGTTCTGCCATTTTGAGAGTGTTTGCTCATTTACTCTTTTTCTGTCCCTCTGCTGAACCTAATGCTGTGGAAGGAAGTAATGACCACCACCCGAAGGCAAAAATAACCCCACAAAGCTTGGGAAACTCTAGCGGCAGCAATCAGGAAGGCGAGTCCAAGTCTGCTGGAGGCTGAGCAGATAACAATTTTAATTCATCCTGTGAGCAAGGAAAAGGGCCCACGAAGGGGAAGATGGTTTTGCTGGGCGGGTGTAGGATGCCTAGCGACAGGCTTTCCCCTTTTCCTTTGCTGGGATTCTCCAGCATCCAGTCCTGGGGAGCCTCTTGGGTTCCCTTCTACGCCCCGAAGGGTGCCATTTAGCCATTACCAGGGGGAAACCACAGTCACCCACAAGCCAGTGGCTTTATTTATTGGATTTTCTCACCGTTCTGCGCAATCAAGTGGGTCAGAGGCTGAAGGGGAAAACAGGTCTCCTGAGAAACGTTCCGCAAAGGAGGCAGGAGAGCTGTCTTCAGACTGTCTCATTATCCCATAGAAAACCCAACTGAAGAAAATATGCTTAATTAAAGTAGGAGGGCTTGCAGCAGACTGGGGGGAACTTTTCCATCAGCAGGGAGAATAAACAGGTCAGGGAACTGAGCGCATGTGCCAATTCCGTCCCCAGAGGCACTCCGGGGTGGATATTTTACAGCTGCCTGCCGCCTGCCCCAAAAGGTTTAGAACAGTGCTTCCCACACGGGCTTTGCCATCAGAACCACCTGGGGAACTTACCAGAAATACAGATTCCTGCCCCCCCCCTCCCAGCCCCCCGAGATGCCGATGGGCGCCTTGTGATCCCGACGCAGCCGCTCACGGAGATGCTTTGGGGAACCCCGAGTGGACCCTCCTGGAGAAGCCGAACCAGCTAGGGGCTCCACAGCGCGGGACCCAGATTCCGACTCCGGAGAACCCAATTTACCATTCCGGGCCCGCAGCCCTGGGAACCCTGGCTGACCATTTTCAGAGCCTCGGGGGAGGGCCCTTCTCTCGGTTCACAAAAGGAGCGCACAGCCCGGGTGCCGGCGCCACGGCGGCGTCAGGCTGAGCATTGCCCTCGCGCCCTCGCAAAGCCCCGGGGGAGCCGGGCGCCGCCCTCGACCCCTGGCCTTGTGGCCCGAGCCGCCCCGGAGCTGCTGCCCCGCTCCGCAGCCGGGAAGGGGGCGAGCGGGAGGGGAGCGTGGAGGTCTAGGAAGACCTTTGTGTCTCGGGGAGAGGCCTCCGCGCCCGCCTGCAGGTCCCAATGCGGCCTTTGGCGAGAGCCGCCTCTCCGGAAAGGGCGCGAAGGAGGCGACCTCGGGCGCCGGGCCCCCGCACGTCGGCCGCCCGGGCCCGGAGGACTCGGCGGCCCCGAGCTAGGCGCCGCGCCCTCCCCGCCCTCGAGGAGCCCGGGCTCTGCCGGGTTCGGGGAAACCTGCGGCGGCCGGGCGCGGCCGGGTGGGTTCGGCAGGGCAGGGGCGCCCCCTAGTGCTCACTGCTGGCCGCTGCGCCCGGTTGGCCCGGGAGGCGCTGAGCCGCCGGGAGCCTTTCCCCGGAGCTCGGGGGCCTTCCTGGGGGTGCAGAAGGGGCACCTGGGCTCCCAGCCTGTGCTGCAGGGGAGACGGACGTCTCTGGCGGGCAGAAGAGCACCTCTGGGTGGTGCTCCTAAAGGAATCTCCACCGGGGGACCCTGCGGGCTCTCCCTGCAGTGCCCTATGCTGCTTTGCAGCCCTCGGTGTTGCTGAGGCTCCTGGTCCCGCTGGTCGTCACTGACCATCTCACTGCAGGAGCTGAGCCCAGCTCTAGAAGCCGCCCCCTCCTGCAGCAGCCCCCATGCGGGGACTGCCGGTTCTTCCCTGGAAATAGCCCACACACACCCCAGACTCCCGCGGGCGCAGCCGAAGCAGAGGACAGCCCTGTACAGAGGGTGCATCCTGGGCACGCTGGTCAGACACAGCATTTGGCTGGCTTCCTGCCAGAGCCAACTCAAGACAAAAGCCAGGGCGGCAGAGGCAGATGCACATGCCTCCCGCCCTCTCCTGGGCCACACTCTTCCCTGGTCCCCAGTAGCCTAGCTGGAGGCTCCTTAAGAACTGAGTCACAGCTGTGACCTGCCACCCTAGCTCAGTTCAGGAAAACAGGGAGGAAAAGGGGCGAAACATCAGGACCCACCAGGTGGCACAGAGAGATGCCAGCCTCTTTATGGCTCTGTGGTACCCATGCCAACCTTCTCACCGAGGCCCCGCTCCTCTGCACTTGGGACCTGAGTCCACACACAAATGCCACAGGAGCACTGAGGTAAGGGCAGCTGGGGAGAGTTCCTGGGTGGGTGTGCCCAGAGCTGACAACCTGTCACATGGTTCTGTGGCCAGACCCCTGACAGTTGCTTCCCAGCGGCACAAACAACTGTCACCACAGCCAAGGCCAAGGCCAGGGAGGGGAGTAATGCCCCCTCCAGCCATCCAAACAGGTGCCAACAGGAGCAAGCGTGAGGACCTTTAGGCCAAAGGCTGGGCCAGAGCACCACCCCCGTACACACAAGTCAAGGAAACTGGCTTTTGGGGGAAAGAACAGGCCAGGTAAGGGAATGGGTGGGGGTGGCAGGCTGGGGCTTCCTTAGGGTTGGAGGTAGAGGCTGAGATGGTCCAGGTAGGGATGAGAGGATGCCAATTGCTCCTGTTTCCTGCCCTTCTCAACAGACGGAAAACATTTCCAAAAAGTCAGGGAGCACTCACTCAAGCCATTGGGAACAGAAATATTGAGAACAAGAGTTTTCCCCAAGAATAAAGAAGAATCCCTCACTCTACCTCCTCCACTCAGACCCTCTTGCTTTCCACTGCCTCTTTGCCCACTTCCCTCCCATTGCAGGACCCTTTGCCTCCAGCCATTGATCTCTGACAGACTTCTTAAAAACCTAAGTCGATTCCCCCCTTCCCTGCTGAGTTAAGGAAGTGGGAGTTTATGTGGAAGCACTACCCTGAGAGGAGACGAAGGCTCCTCCCAGCGAGTAAGCCTGCAGACGTTTGCTGCGCCAAGCTGCTTGAGGATGTGGAGATGACTAAGATGCTTTTCTTGAGGGATTTACAGTCCAGCTGCCCTGGCCTGGCTGGAAGCCCAGTGGGGCAGTCTGGGGGTTCCCCAGACTGTGGTCTCTGTTCCCCACACTGTTCCAGGCACTGCAGCATGTTTCATTGGCCGCTGGGGGGCCCCACCCCATGACAGATCCCACAGTCTGCTATGGCTCTATAGCTTGAGATTTTCTTGCTTCTAGATTCCGAGGTGGAAGATGGAAATGAAAGCAGCACTTATCAAAGCAACAGCCAGGTCCTCTAGCAAGGGAGCTGGCCGTGGAGCTCAGCAGAGACCTCTGTCCCCAGCCACCTTTCCTACGCCCCCATGCACCTCCCTTCCTTCTCTGTAATGAAACTGAAACCAATGTGTTTGCAGTTCTCATTTCACTTTTCTGCCACTGTCTTTTCGGAGTCTGGCGAACAGACAGCAACAGTGACCAGCCCAGACCCAGACAGTCCAGGCCACACAGCCTGAGCTTGCTGGGCCCCTGCAGGCTGCCCTGCAGCTACTCCTCAGCCCAGAAGCCCCAAGGGACTCAGCAGCCCCAGCAGGTGGCCTGGTGTCCCTCTGCTGAGGGCATCTGTTCAGGCCTACTCCACCATGAGTGGAATTGAGCCTCGTATTCAGTAAACAGACTTTACTCACCCAGCTTTGTTTGGTGCTCGTTTCAGTGTCCTTGGCCAAAGGCTCAGGACCTCAAACTTACAGGAGAGAGGATGTCTCAGCCCCCATCCCACCTCCACATCTCCTTGGTCCCTGCCCTCACTACCACCAGGGATGACACATCCTGGCCCCCCTGGACAGTGACAGGCTGGATGGATGGCTGCCCCTGTAGGTACCCACTTAGGATGCATTTGGTGTGTGGATCCCACACTTCTCTCCTAATTACATCTTAGGGCTCAAGAACCAGAGTGAGGCGTGCAGAGAAAGTTGGTGAGAAAACTGTGTGTGTATGTGTGTGAGAGAGAATGAGAGAGAAACAAAGATAGGTAAAATAACAAAGATGGAGAGACTGAACTACTGACTTATGCAACAACATGATGAGTGAAAGAAGCCAGACACAGAAGACCACATATTTAGAATACATAGGATTCTATTTAGACTCAATTTCTAGAGAAGGCAGAACAAAACGAAAAAAACTATAGGATCAGAAAGATCCGTGGTTGCTGGGGTTTGGGCCTAGGGGCAGAGGGCGACTGCAAACAGGCTCCAGGGGACTTTTTTGGATTGATAAAAGTGTTCTAAAGATGTTTCATGAAAATGTTCACACAACTTGAGAAATTCATTAAAGCTCATTGCACTGAGCGCTTGAAATGGGTGAGCTCTCTGATATAATGTAACTGTAAAACATGCCTCAATTAATTTTCCTTAAAAATGGAGGAAGGGACAGAGAAGGGATGAGAGCGGGGAGGTGGGGGTGGTGGGCTGAGGAGAAAGTGGAGCTTCTCCCACCCCCCAAGACCCACACCCTGCAGACCAGGAGCCACCAGTGCAGACTGTGCTGCGAGGAAGGTTTCATCTGGGATGAATTATGGGGCCAGTAGGGTTTTAGGAAGGCTAGGCATGAATTACATCAGAATTATGTCCCACTCCCTGCTATGTTCCACAGTTAAAGTGACTCTACTACCACAAACAGGTGGACTCCACCAGGCAGCCTAGACGCAAGACCCAAGATCAAAACAAAGCTTTGAGGGTTAGCAGAGCCTGGAAGAGCCATTCAAGTTGAAAACATCTAATGTAAATAAAATTCCTAAAACCTCAAGTTCTTCCATTTGCAAATAGAGCCCCAAGCCCTAAGCATCCTATGAGAAAGCAGGCCTTTATTTTTCAACTGGACTTAAAGGTTAACTGAAGATAAAAGTTTTGTCCAGGAGTCAATACTGAGAATTATCTAAGAAGGTACAGTGCCTGTTTAAAAAATAAGTTTTATAGGGGGTTTGATGCAATGTGAGGTAGCTGTGTTAACATTCTGATGGGCCAAATCCACAGTATGACATGACAGCATCCAGGCCACTACCCTGAGGCCGTCACAGGTTTGCATCAGCCAATGCTGGGTTTACTCACACACCCAGGGGTGCCTTCTATGAAGTCTGGGATGGGAGAGACATGGCAGAACTGATATCAACCCCCACCATCAATTCAACATCGCTGTGGCCCAGGGGTCTGCCCGTGGGCTTCTCTTGGCCTGAGATGCCAAAAGGGCCAAGTCTCATTTATTGAAAGATACTGATGGAAAGGGCTCTGTTCTCCATAACTGGGTAAATTGCACCAGGATCTACTAGAAGTTGAGGCAAGTGGGGGGGTCATAGGGTCTTTACAAGCCTTTGGCTCCTAGGCAGCTGGCTTCATGACCCTCAAACATTGATCAACCATCAACTATGTGCCAGGAAAAACATGCACAATGTCCACCTTGTAGCTCAGTCTCACCAGGACAACAGGACATATATAGAAAAAGTCCAACCAAGGTAATATGAGTCTAGGCGTGCCACTGATAGAGCACTTCCTGAGCTGGGCCTAGGGATAAGCTTTTCCCATTTATCTGTACTCCTCACAATCAGCCTGGAAGGCAGATATTATTAACCCTGTGTTACACAGGAGGAAACCTGTATTAGGGTTCTCAGAGAAACAGAACCAATAGGATAGATAGAGATACATAGGAGGAGATTTATTATGAGATATTGACTCCCATGATTATGCCGGCGGCAAAGTCCTGCGATCCACCCCCTGCAAGCTGAAGGCCCGGGGAAGCCAGTGATGTCGTTTCTGTTCAAACCTGAAAGCCTGAGGATGAGGGGACCCAACAGTATGAGCCCTGGTCCAAGTCCAAAGGCCTAAGAACTAGAAGCACTGATGCTCAAGGGCAGGAGAAGATGGGTGTCTCAGCTCAGGCAGAAAGTTCACTCTTCCTCTACCTTTTTGTTCCATTCAGGCCCTTGGATGATGCCCACCCACACTGGGGAGGTAATATTCTTTACTCAGTCTACCAATCGAAATGCTAATCTCTTCGCAGAACACCGTCACAGACCCATCCAGAACTAATGTTTAATCAGCTGTCTGGGCATCCATAAACCCAGACAAGTTGACACATCAAATTAACCATCACAAAACCTAACCTTGGGAAGTTAAGCAATGTACCCAAGTTTACTGGGTAAAGTCAGTCCAAGGCCATGGTCCTAGACTGCCTGAGAGAAAGGGTAACATCCTTAACCAGCTCCAGAAGTTAGGGGAATAGGTGGTCACCACCACAGGGTCAGCAGGGCCTTGAAAGATGGGGAGAGAAGCGCAGGCAGGAGCACACACAGGCGCTGGGTGGTGAGGCCCCTCGCCAGAGCATGGTCGGTGGGCAGGTGAGCCGGGGGGCCAGGTTAAGTTGCTGAGGGTCCACCTGCAGGCAGCAGGGAGCTACCAAAAGCTCCCAACCCACACTGGTGAGATGATGAGAGTGGGATCTAGAAGAGCCAACAGTAGGAGGCTGGGGACAGCACCTGTTGCCACAGTGTCTCCGGGTGTCAGCTTGGTGGGGGAAGCAAATGTGAGCTTTAAAATATGTGTCAATGTCTGATAATCAGTTGAGTCCCACCTCATTTCTATGCATTCTATGCAATTCTGCACATTGTATCCCACCATCCAACCCCAGCCCAAGCCACCCAGCCATCCTGCCTCCACCGCCTTGGAAGGGAAGAACAGCAAAGAGGTCATTCTTAGCCCTTAAACTCAAAACTGGCTTCTGAAAGTCTCCGCAGAGATAATAGGCCAGGACAAAGTTCTTGAGTCTCAGGGCCTGACCGCAAGATTGCCGGGGGCTCCCTGGTGCTTGCTGCCCACCCCCAGCACTTTTCATGGAGCAAGGAGGGTGGAGAAGAGGGGGCATGGTAAGCCCTTCCCCCCTTTGTGTTTCCATTTCCCCATCTTTGAACGGGGGGCAGTAACACCTATCTCACAGTGTGTTGAAAGAAGAACACAAGTAATTCATGGCATGCAGTTGGAATAGGACATAAATAGTTTTATAATTTTCATCGTCATGGAGGAACAGCATGGCTGAGGCAGGGTCTGGAGTCCTCAGCAGCCCCAATCTGGGGAAAGACACCATCCAGAAGTTTCCCAAGTCCCAGAGAGAGAGATACAGAAGAGCAGCAGAAGGTGTCTCTGCAAGACCGGCAGGAACACACCCTGATGGATGGCCAGGGAGGAAAGGAGAAAATGCCAACTAATTTAGAAAACCTAAATTGACCAGCATTTCCCTGAAATGGCTAAAACTAAATTTCTGCCATTCACTGATACCAGAAGATAGTCAATTTTTTGCATTGATGACCAACAACATATCCATTTCAAGGGGAAAATGTCTGCTTGCTGCTTTGCTCCTGTTCTTTATCTGGTGCTGGCCCCTTGCCTGCTTTTCTGGATGAGGAAGGATTGAAATATGCAGCTGAAGTACTACAGATTCTGGTGAGAGTCAAGATGGAAGTCAGCCTTTTCTGGGGGCCTCTTGGCAGCCCTGGCCCCAAAGACAACGGCCTGAATCATTGGGCACTTTCGTCTCAGGCCGGTCCTCTTGAGGCCCTCCTTACCTCCTGTCTCCTTTCCCTCCTTCCTCCCTCTCCCTGCCTTCCTTTCTGGTGGTCCTCCCTGAAGATTCAATTCCTTCCCTGCTTCCTGCAAAAGACTCGAGTCCTAGTGCGCAAGGCAGCTTGGCAGAGCCCGAGAGCTCCGTTCCAAGATTGCCATGTGGTGTGGCTGGCTGGCTCCTCACCCCTGAGGCCCCATGGCGCTGCCCACTGGGCCAGGCCAGCTCTGCCAGGACACCTGGGAGGAGGCCATCTCGCTTGACAGGAAGAGCTGTGAAAGACCTGACACCTTTCTCTGGAGAGTGGCCCCATTCTCCCATTCATTCATGGATTCACTGGTCACTGAACATCCTGGTGGCCAGAGCTGAGCCGGTTTGGCCCTGCAAGTGAAGGCTGGGCTCAATGCCTGGCATACAGTGCTCTTTGCCTAGGCCTGCCAGGATGTGTTCCAGGGCATCCCCCATCCAGCGAAGATGGAATGTACAGGAGGTCCTTCAGGCTTACTGAATTGAATGAGCAGAAATAAAGGTCTGCCATGTAGTCTTCCAGACGCAGCACGTCCTGGAGCCAGAGGCAAAGAGCCCCCGGCCCAGAGCCTTCCTCCTGTCCTGATAGAGTCACAGAGATCACTGGGCATTCCCTTACCCTCCCCTGGGCAGGCAGAGCCCCCAAACAGAAAGGCTTAGAACAAGGGCTGTGGGGAACCCCCGGGGAAGCTGTCTGAAATGCTTTTGCGCAGGGCTCTGGGGAGGACGGGAGCCACCCAGGGGAGGAGAGAAGAGTGAGGACAGGTGTTTCTGGAGTGATCCAGCCTCGGGGCGCTCCCCGGCCTCTGCCCCCAAGCAGCGGTGCGCATTTGGGTCACTTCCCCTTCCCCCTCGGGAGCTACGGCCCTGCCTTCATCCCTTGCTTCTCTTTCTCAGGGGGCAGGGATCAGCTGCAGGCTTCCCAGGGGGCGCCCGCCCCAGGATGGCTCCCTGAAGCCTGCTCATGCAATCTGTGTTGTGGCCAATGGCAGGGCACTTACACGAAGGAGCTGTTCCTCAATTCGGAGAAGTGGATGAATGACTAACGACCTCCCGGTGGGACAGGGCTCCCTCCCGGATGTGAGCAGCCCCCTCCCCAGGTCCTGCTGCTGCCTGGCAGGAACCGCTCTTAGGGTTGCAGAGAAGGGAGGAGGGCCTGGGCTCAGCTTCAGCTGTGGACTCCAGAGAAGCAGCTGCTAAGCCCTCCCTGGGGCTCCGACTCGGGAAATGGCACCCATTACCCTGCTCTGGACTTGTCAGTGTGACTCTTACATTGTGAGGCTTCAAAACCCAGGACAGTATGACTTATTCAGAAAAGTAGCACGAACAGAACACACACGCATGCACAGAATCTGACCACTGCTGAGTCCTGATCCAAACCACCATCTCAGAAGGTGGATCAGATCAGCCGTTCCCACTGGCTCCCGCTCTACTTAAAGGGACATTCGGTTCCTACTGCTGCCTTCAAGGTCTGGAGCAGTCAGGGCCCTGCATGCCCCTCCCCACACGCCCGCCAGCCTGGCCTCCCTGCTTGGTCTCTGAAGCACCAGGGACCCCTTGCACTTGCTAATCCCCCCAACGCCCCAGGGCCAGGGGTCTGCTCACTCCCGCCCCTCCACTGTCCTCTCACTTCCCCTGGCAAGTCCCTCCCCAACCACCCAGTCCAAACTAACGCCCTCCCCTTGGCTGCTTTGGACCCCTCATGGCACTTCGCCCACGACCTGGCATAGCTGGCTGTCCTCTGGTGGCAGGGCCTTTGTTCGCTGCTCTATCTCCAGCTCAAATATCAGGAATGAAAGAGTGGGTAAGTGCAGGCAGGTGGGAGGGCAGGAAGGCAGTCTTGGGATCAACTCCACTGCCTCCAGGTGGTGTCTGAGCCCAGCTCCCCGAGGACAAATGGACTCTTTCTCCCAGCTCAAAGGCAGGTATGATGGCTGCCATGGAAGGATGGTGATGTGGAACCCCCACTCAGGGCCGGCCTGGGCACCTTGAATGTTCCCCTGGGAGCAGCAGCCCAGAAATAACACTGACAGCAAGCATCCACAGGCACTCGCTGTCTGAGCCCACAGGCGCTGTTCTAGCTCTGCACAGATGATCTCATGTCATCCTCAGACATCTGTAAAGCAACCAGAGGAGGTGGGTCCTGTTCTCCCATTTCACAGGTGGAAAAGTGAGCTAAGGTGCCTGTGCTCACAGCTGTTGGGGGGCTCTCACGCTCTCGCCCACAGACAGATCCCCAAGAACGGAGAAAAAGTGAGCAGGCCCAGTAAGGCAAGAGGTGGGAGTGCGAGTATCTCTGTGGGGCCCAGAGACAGGGTAACCACAGGCTGCAGAGAAAGCACAGTAAGTGAGTTCCAAAATCACCGCTGAGGCGCTAGGGGGAACAGGGCTCACAATGGGACGAAGGAGGAACCTTCTCTCTCAAGCTTCTCAAAGATGTTTTATTTGTTTGCTTTGCTTTTCTCTTTTTTTTAAACAATAATGGCACATTAAAAAAATTTAAGAACTACAAAAAAGGGACCACGTCTTCGAGTCTGTGTTCACATTGTCCTGCGCAGTGGCGCCAGGACTGGCCGTAGGCTCCCACCGGGCTGGGATTCGGCCTCGTGGAAAGGCACTGGGTCGGCTGCCCTGCATGAGGCCACTCCGGGAGCCGGGGTGCTGTCCCTCTGCACTGCCTGGAGGGCGGGCGCCTGGAGCTGCCCCCGACCCCTGCTTCTCTGGGGCCCCCTGCACTCCGGCAACCCCCTCCTCTCTCTCTCTCTAAACCAGAGCCAGGAGCTGGACATGGTAGGGAACTTATTTTGGTCCCCACAGGGGACTCTTTAGAGACAGAGCTCTCCCCCAACCAGCAGGAGATGACACCTGAACCTAGCCTGGTCACCCCCAGGAGGGCAGGTGTCTCTCCCCAGTCCTGTCTCCAGCCCAGCTGACACCACGGGGCTGCACTGGTTCTCAGGCTCCACCCAGGCCCCTCGTGCCATGCCCGAGGCCACCCCAGCAAGCACAGAAGTGACAGACGCTCAGCCCCCTCAGCTGACCCCGACTGAGAGCAAGAGGGCTCCCCCAACAGTGGGACCCTGGCTCAGAAGGAAGGGCTGGGTGAGACACAGGGAGGGGAGATGGGCAAGATGCTCAGAGCTGAGGCTGCCAGGCGGGAGGGAGAGAAGCAAGAGGCGCTGGGTGAGGGCTCGGGGGAGGCCCCTCAGGCTCTGCAATGGGAAGGGGGTCCTGGAGCCTGGGCAGCCGGCCTGGGCAGGGGGCTTGCAGGGAAAGAGGAAGAAAGAGGCTCCCATCCTGCCTCTGGTCGCCGCAGGGGACTCAGGCCCAGGTGACAAGACCTTAGGCCCCCCCAAAAGGGAAACGCCACACTGCACCCAGCTGGGTTCGGCCCAGTCCTCACCAGCCCAGGCCTTGCCCAGCCCCAGATCCTAACAGTGGCTTCAAGGACACCCCTCCATAGGCCGGCTGGCCTGATAGCTGGGGGGCTCCGGCTGACCCAGGGCCCATCCTCCCCAGCTCCTCCTGGTCCGGCCCTGCCCACGCCCTTAGCTCTACTCCTGCTGCTCATTCATTTCCATGTCAGACACCAGAATGTTCTTCTCAGTGGCCTCGCTGGGCCCAGAGGCGCTGCGGCTGTACCTGGCGCCCTCGAAGGCCCCTCGCTCAGCGCTCCGTCGCCGCCGGTAGAGGACCAAGGCCGCGGTCAGCAGGGCCAGGAGCAGCAGCACGGCTGTCAGCACCACCACCAGGGCCGCTGGGTTCTCGGGGAGCGCGGCTGCGGCAGGAGGTGCCTGGCTGAGGAGCCACCCCCACCGCCCCACCCCTGGCAGCTGCCCCACCCCACCCCTCCCAGGGACAGAGGGGGAGGGCTGGCCTCAGCCTCGCCTTCTGCTCACCTGACGGGGAGAAGCTGCTCTCCTCAGCTGCAGGGAAGAGCAGGACCATTAGTCGTGCAGTAGTAACAACCACAAGGAACACATACAGAGCTCTTGATGAGTGCCATGTTATTAGCTCACTTCATCTCACAGGTGCTATTATCACCCACTTTTCATATATGAGAAAGCTGAAGGCCCAGAGTTTAGGTAACTTACCCATAGTCACACAGCACGTGGTTTGACTGGGGTTTGAACCCTGTCTGTACCCTCAACAATACAAAGTGATGGGTTTGCTGTCTAGTTTGGAAATTTTTAGGAAGGGCCAGTCCATCTTACAAACCGATTCATCATAGGGGTGGGCCCGGCAGCCCCCAGCCTGTCTGTTCGTGTGCCCCCCACCCCCGTATCACCTGCAGGAGGAGGAGCAGCCCCTGGCCCTGCCCAAGCTCTCGCTGAGCAGGGGCGGAGGAGGCTGAGCAGTGCGCCCAACGCCCTCACCTCGCGGGAGCTTGCAGACGACTCCCATGGTGGTGTTCGCGCAGGCCCCGGGCCGCCACAGCCCATTGCTGCTCTGGATCCAGTAGCAGCTGTTGTGGCTCAGCATGCTGGGGCCCAGGCCAGGGGGCCCCCAGTTGGAGTAGTTCACAGCTGTGTTGTCCTGCCAGACCAGGGTGCCTCCTGTGGGAAAGAAGGCGCTGAGGGAGTGTGGGGCGGGGGAGACAAAGCAGAGCAGGACCAAGAAGAGGCCTGGGCAGGAGCCAGCTCTGTAGCCAGCTCTGTAGTCCGCGAGTCCTCACCACACAAGCCCTGGTGGGGGGCGTCTCCCCTACAGCCTGAGGCCTTACGCTCCTGATCCCATCCACAGGGTACCCACCTTTGGGGTTGAAGTTCATGCCCAGCCAGGCGCCCCGACTCTGGCCCTCAGAGCTCTGCAGGTGCTCCCAGACAAACACGTTCTCCATCTCATCCAGAATGGACAGGACTGCCCCACCCGCTGGACACAAGGGGCCCACGTCAGGGCCGACAGGTCTCCTGGGGGAAGCAGAGACCCCCAGAGAGGCCCCAGCCCTCTTCTTTGGTAGCCTGAGTAGAGGATGTTACAGAGCCCATGCATGTGTGTATGCACGTGTGTGTGTGCAGGTATGTGGCAGGGGTTACATACATGTGATGTCACATGGTCTCCATGTACTGGCCCGTAAGGAGCAGTTATGTGGGAGTGCAGCCTACAGTCGAGTGTAGCATGGGGCTGCATTCACAGGGCCTATGTGTCCTGGAGAGCAGTCGCCACACAGGGCCTAGCCTGCCCTGGCCCACCTCTCTGGCAGCGCTGCAGCGCCTCCTTGTGGCCCAACAGCAGCTCCATGTGGAAGGAGTAACAGTGCTCCCGGAAGGGAATCCACGCAGAGTCGGCCAGGCCCTGGGGACAGCTGCCACGGTAGCCTATTCTTCGGGGAGGAGGGGGCCCTGTGGGGATGCAGGATTGAGAAAGTGGCCCAGAGTCCTTCTGGGATGGCCTGCACCTTACCTCCTCCTCAGCCCCAGTGGGTGGGTACTCACCACTGTTCACTCCACACACTGCCCCCTGCAACTTGGTGTCACAGCTGGTGGTGCGCCAGGCCCCATCCACATCCACATAGGCACAGCCCCCGGCCTGCTGGGGCTCCCCATCCTGCCAGCTCACGTAGCTCAGTGGCTCCTCTGAGACCCAGGAGTATCGACGGGAGCCCTGGGTACAAGGGCCGTAAGGGTGGGAGAGAGGCAGGAAGGCAGGGGGCTAACAGGAAACAAGGGGGAGATCAGGGGAGTGGGCCCCATAAGGGGCCGGGATGAGTGCTGGAACCCACCTCCCCACTGGCCAGCCCAATCCAGAGTGGTGTGCGCAGCCCTCGGGCAGCCTGCGTGAGGAAGGCCTGGGTGTAGGGGTCAGGCACGTGGGCCAGGCTGGCATTGCGGCTCTCACACAGCAGGAGGGCGTCGGGCCAGCGCAGCGGCTTCTGCAGCAGCCGGAAGGTGCCGTTGAGGTAGGAGAGCTCAGTGCCTGGGGCTGGAGGCGACGCTGCTGGGGATGGGCTCAGGGAAGGGTCTACAGGGAAGGGGGCAGGGCTCAGGCCAGCCTCTGCTTCCCTCATCCCATTCCCAGGCCTGAGGCCAGGGAAGTGCCAGACATCAGGCAGAGACTTGGGCTCCACTGGGCAGTGCTTGGTGCAGACTAAGGCTCAGTCAGTGTTAGCCAATGCTATTAATAATATATCTGCCCAATAATCAGATAAGCAAGCTGGAGCCTTGGTCTAGTCCTATGCCAGGGACCCAGGGCAGAGGCACATGTGCATGGAGCTGCAGGCACCTCAGCCCCCCATAAAACATCTGCTCAGTGGTTAGGTCTCCCTGGTCAGATCTTCACACCCCCAAACCTTCCTCCTGAGACCTGAGACCCCCTGCCTTTCCCTCTGATGGGTACCTTGCCTTTCTGCCCATCTGCTTCCTAAGCAGATACCAGACTCTGCGAGTGACCCTGGGGCCCCCTGAGGTCAAGACCATGTTTCATTACTCTTGGCATCGCCTACAGCATCTATGCCAGTGCTGGGGTTGCCCAATTCATGGGTGACACCTACCTGTGCCCTTTTGGCAGATAAAGCCATGCGTCTCCTCCAAGCAGCTCCGATCATCCCAGCGGCCCGTGAAGTGAGCTGAGGGGCTGTGCAGGACCACCGCACAGCTGGTCTAGGGGAAAGGAGCTGCTCAGGGGAGCCCCAGCGGCTGCCCCTCCATGCTCTGGCCCCAAAAGCCTGCACTATGAGCAAAGAGGCTGGAAGAGGCAGGGACCCTGGGGGTGAAGGCAAGGGCTGCAGGCCAGGGCAGTGGGAGCGGAGGGGAGAGCAGGGAGGGCATTCCTCACTGGTATGTTGCCGCTGGGAGCAGGGCTGGGGCCAGAGGGCTCCCCAGGGGCCCAGTTGGTGTACAGCAGAGACTCCTGCTCCACCCATTGGAAGTCCCTCTGCGAGGCATGGAGGCCAATCCAAAGGTCAAAGGTCACATTGGGCAGGCTGGCTGTGATGAATGCTACAGGAGAGAGAATTGTGAGCAACAGCACAGCCCCCTGCCTGCTCTGCTCTCGCCATTTTGGGGGGCTGTGGTAGAGGATACTGGGGCCTCCCCATGGGCTGGCCCTACCTTGTTCTAAGGGGTTCGCAATGGTGGCCAGTTGGGCCTCTTGCTGTTCACAGGAGAACTGTGCCTCTGACCACTTCACCCGGTCCTGGGGCTCCTGGCCCTGGATGCGGAAACACTGCGGGGTGGAGGGGGAGGCATGATGTCCAGCTCTGCCTCACTGTCTCACAAGCCCTGAAATTCTGCTGCACACCCCTCAGCAGCAGGCCCTGGGAGGCTCTGGGGACTGTGAGAGCAAATCAGAACAGGGACATCTGGGTCTCCCTGAGCAAGGCTCCTGCACAGCAAACTCACACTCTTGCCCATGCTCTGGAGAATTTTTTAAGTGGGAGGATTTCTTTGGGCCACTGAAGACTATTACCCATGACAGTAGCACCTGGGCCTCCCATGGGGACAAGGTCTGTCTCGCTTTCAGCTAAACACCTTCCTGAGTGTTGTCTGAAATCTGTTATTTTGCCTTTTGAACTCAATGTTCATTTCTAGAATATTTTTATCTTTATTTCTGAAGGATCTTTGTTAGGCAGCAGCTTCTAACTCTTATTTTTTCTTTTCCCACCTTCATTACTTCCATAAAGTTAAAAGAATCCTGTATGGGAAATCTTTTATCAAGGGAAGACTCTTAGTTCGAAAATGAGTGATATCCAATAATTTTCTGTGCAGAGAGAGTATGATGGGGGGAAAAGAATGTAAAGAAGCTTTGGAGGCACAAAGCAGGGAGGGGGAGGTACAGGTCAGATTCCAGATCAGACTTAACTTTTCTGGCCTCAACTTTTCTATAAAACAGCAATGAAAATACCTGTCTTTGGGGGTCATTTTAAGGAGTAAAGAGAATAGTGCATGACACAGAGTGTGTGCTTAAGTGAAAGCTCTTACTATTAATGATTACACCTCGCCCCAGCTTACTGATACAAATGTCAGATTTGGGATAGAAAGTTGTAAATCCAGAAACAATGCCACAGTTTTTTGGAGGTTTGTTACAAAGCCCATATACCTGATTTACAGAAGTACTTCAGAGCCATTCTAAGGCCTTCTTTAAATAACTAGTAAAATTAGTCATAAAATTAGGAGCGGCGAGGTCACATCAGGACCAGCAAAAAGCAACAGCTAAGGGAGGAGGTATTCCGTTGGGTCCAGCAAACACTCGGGGCCTCCCTACCATGCGCAAGTGTATTAACTATGTCGGGTGCCAGGGGCCCCGCCCTCCAGTAGCTTGGAACTAGTGGGAGAGGCAAACCCTTACATGTTTTACCTACAGCCAGATGCTGCAGGGATGCAAGGGAGGACACAGCGAGGCTGCAAGGTGCCTGTGGGAAGGTATGAAGAGGCACACTGCCTCGCAAACACCAAAGGCTGGCGACAGAGAGTAACTGTCATCATTGTGAGGATGACGCATTAAGAAAGTAACCAATTACACATATAAAATTTACTGTTTTATATTAGGTGCTAGAAGCCATGAGTATAAATTTTTGGAAAATTTTAATGACATGAGAAAATGCCCAAAATATCATACTAAGAAAGAAAAGCTGGATATGAAACTATATCATTTAGTATGATCTCAGTTATGTGGGAAAAGGAACAAAGTGGAGTAAAGATAGTGATGGTGGTTCTCTCTGGGGAGTATGGGTAAGTTTTACGTTCTGTTTTTTCCAAAGTTTTAACAATACACAGTGCCTTAGTTTTTTTTTTTTTTTTAAGGCAGAAAAGACAGAATATCTGCTTGAATATTCTGGAAAGTGTAAGAGCACCATGACACCAAGAGGCTGGCCGCACTCCAATGTGTGACAAAGATTTATGGATTATATTCTCTAGTGTTAACTGATCGAACCTCATAACAGGGCTAAATGGCCGTACAGTGTCCTGCAAAGAAAGCATGGACTGAAGTGCACAGGTAATGGGGGACCAGCACCCTTCTCTTCCTGGGAGAAACTTTTTTAGCCACTAGGTAAAAACAGTGAAGGCCTAAATCAGGTCTCATAAATTAGCCCATGGGTATGAAAGTAACCACTTTTGGAAGAAACTCACATTCCAGAGGGAACATTTTGAAGACATGTTTAGAAGCACATACATTCTGATTAATTGTATTGCCCCAAACTTTCCTGCACACTCAGAAGAGTTGGGAAAGTAATTTTCTAAATGTTGCTTTAAAAAAAAAAATCTTCCAAAGACTTTTTTTTAACACCCTTTTGATCGAGTCTTCTGATTCTTTTATGAGGCAAATCAGTTTAATATGCAGAAATTTACTAGCCAATTTTTAAACAAAAACTTTTGTTTAATTGGCTGAAGCAATGAAAAATGGAGAGAGTGACTTAGAAGGCCCAGCCAAAGGTGGAGGAACTTTTTTCATTTTGATCTATTTGTTTTTGTGAGGCAACTTTTTAACTGACAACAACCATTAAATGTATGTTTTAAAATCATTTGAACTTCAAACAAGAGCTGCAAAGTCACAAATCACAGTGTCAATGCATTTTAAAAATAATGAAGTATATGCAGTCACCTTGCTCTTATAAAAATTATTTAAATAGTAATAATTATAACTGATAATTTTTGAGTGAGCACATTCTTTCATACCACTAGGCAAGGAAAACTTTTAAAACTTAAAATGCTATTTTTAAGTCTTAAACTCATGCTTCCTATTGCTTTGTTCCTGCGCAGTTTACTGTATATAATGTAGTCACATTAGCATAGAAGTAAATATATATATGCACTTACACACATAATATACACACACATAGTTTATGTCAAACATTTTGTTTTACTAATAAGAGCTCATTACCAAATATTTTGTGACCACTGATCATAAAACTATGTGGACAACCTCATTACCTGCTGAATTAGAAGGTGCTTCTATACTGAATTATTTTCCAAGGAGTCTAGCCCTGGCATTGGGGTCAAGTAGGAGAGAGGTTGGTGGGTATGGGTAAGAGGTCATGACTTTGACGGTGCCAAAGGGCCAAGACTCCTGAGGTCTGGCCTTCTCATGTTCACATCCTCTCCCCTGCCTCTCTTGAAGCCCCACCCCCCACACCTACCTTGTTGAGGAACTGATTCCAGCCAGGGGGGCAGCCCCCCAGGGCCGTGGGTGGCAGGTCTGGGGCCTGTGCCTCTCTGGTGCTATTGCTGCGCTTGCAGATGTAGGGCAAGGCGGTCAGGCACCTCTGGTCCCCCCAGTCCTCTGCAGAAAGAGGACAGTCACTCCCAGCACAGAGCAGGGCTTAGCAACCTCACCTCCTGCCCTGGAAGGAGGCAGGACTGGGGCTCCAGGCCCTGGGTCCAGCTCTGGACTCAAGTCCTCTATGGTTGCCAGTCCAAGGAACAGGCTCTCCCCTTTCTGGGTCTAGCCATTCTTGGGTTGGGCCTGATGGCCTCTGTGCAGGCACACCTCACTGCTGCCGTGCCGGCCCACTGATGGGCTCCTGCCCCCACCTTGCCCTCACCTCGGCTGGCCGTCATGTACACACACTTCTTATCCTTGCCGATGAGCCGAGGTTTGCCAGGTGCCCAGGAGATGAAGTTTATAATGGAACCATCTGTCCACCTGCAATGGCACCAAGCAGGAGGTGACTCCAGCCTTGACCTGGGACCCAAATGCCCCTGTGTACAGCAATGAAGGCCACAGAAGGGGGGCAGGGAATGGCCCAAGTCCGGGGGTTCACTGGCCATAGGTTGAGAATGGGGCTATTGAACTCAGTGCAGCTGGGAATCCAAGGGCCTGGTGCCTCCAGGTAAGACCCAGCCCTCCTTGAGCACTCATTTCTTTAACTAGAAAAGAAGTCTAAGAATCCCAGGGCAGGGGCAAGGGCAACAGTGTGCTCATTATTCTCATTTTTAGATGAGAAAACCAAGGCGCAGAAAGGCTGTCATTTGCTCAAGGCCACACAGCCACTGAGTGCCAGAACCGGACCCAAGTGCAGGTCTCGCTGCTTGTGTGCTGTCCCTTCCCCAGCTCCTGTCTAGAGTTGCGCTGGCCATTCAGGCCTCCCGGGTGCTGCTGGGAGGTGTTCAGCTTGGAGCGGCTGCAGGACCTCCACACCTGCTGCTGGGAGGGTTCCTACCTGAACCGCCCCTCGTTCTCTGAGGTGTGCAGGCCGATCCACCAGTGCTGCTCCTGGCCCCTGGAAAACTGGGGGAGCCAGACGGGCAGGGGAGGTTTGGCAGGGCCTCTCCACTGCCCCCGGGCCTGTCCTTCCCCTGCCCACAGCTCCCTGCTCGCTCACGTGCCCACCTTCTGCAGGTTGTGCCCCAGGAAGTCCAGCTCGGCCTGGCTGTGCACAGAGGCCAGCTCTGCCTGGAACCACGTGCAGATGAGCTGCGCCTGTGCCCACGTGGAGTGGTGCTCGAAGAACTTGTACTCAGCCTCCTGGAAACGCAGCCACTCCTGCGGGCCTGAGGAACAGCGCCCGCGGGGTGGTGGCCAGGTTGGGGTTGCCAGCTAGCTCAGTGGAGAAGGGGCAGGAGGGTCCCGGGCAGGCGGCAGGTGGGCCTGTCGGCCCACTGGATCTGGGGCAGGCACAGCGGTGTCCAGGCCCAAGCTTGCCTCTCCTTCGAGACAGATGCCCACAGGGCTGCAGGAGCCCTGATTCCCATTCTCTCCACTCAAACCCCTAACCTCTTGCGTTATGTCCCGGCCAAGCCCTGCCTGAGGTGACGCCCCTTCCCCTCTCCTGGGCGCCATGGGAAGCAAGGTGAAATGGGTTCTCACCCTGCGGACTGATGTCGGGCTCCCGCACGTCGGTGCCTAAGGGGATAAACAGGACAGGGATGCTGCACGGAAAGGAGACCCTCTCCTAGGCCGCCCCCACCCGCAGCCCTTCGTCCCCTCCGGGTTCCCCAGCGCCACCCCACCCAACCTCGAGGGATCTTGCAGATCCAGTCCAGCTGCGACTCGCACTGCATGGCCACCCACTGCAGGGAGGCCAGGTCGAGCACTGCGCAGCCCCGGATGTCGTCGTCGTCGTGTCGGCTCCGATCGAAATTGTGGTAAGAGAACTGAGGGAGGTCGGAGAGAGGGCTGTCAGGCACCGGGCGCAGTCTGCCCGCACCCCCAGAACACGCGACCTAGAGGCCTGGCCTGGGCGGGGAAACCCCAACCTGCGCTGGACGCCCCGCCTCGGCTTCCCGCCCCTGCCAGAAGCCCTCCCCCGCTCAGCCCCGCCCCACCTACAGGAAGGCCACGCTCACCGATGCCCCGCCCACCCACTCCCGTCCAGCCTTCTGGAGGCCCTCTCACCCCAAGGCCGTCGCTCCAGCGCCAGCTCTGCCCGGCCCCGGGGTCTCGACGGTTCAGGCCGATCCAAAACCAGTGCTGTTCATGGACTTCGGGCTCTGATTCACTTCAGCACAACCGCGGGTAGGGACGAGATGGGGGATGAGAGGGGCAGAAGTCCCCTACAACAGCGCCCGACAGTCCCCAGAGCCGGGGGGCCTCTCCATCTGGGCTCCACCCACCGGGCATCACTGTCGGGTGCCTTTACGTGTCCTCCCGCGAGGGAACTGGCCCAGCTGTACCAGGCGCGCAGCCCACTGCAGGCAGGCCTGGCTCCCTCCCTTTGCTTCCCGTAGTGAGGGCTTTGCCCTGCCAGCAAGGTTCTGCAGGCTTTGGCTTGAGGGATGCCCATCAGTGGGGATGGGCATAGACTTGGGGCTCTGGAATCAGATCAGCCTGGATTTCAGTCCTGGTTCACCAAGGACCTACTCTGTGACCTTGAGCAAATAACCCAGCCTTTCTATCAGCCCACAAAGGTCACTGATAAGGGCTACTTCCTAGGGTTGCTGATCAGTGGGAGCTAATGTAATTACCACTCAGATAATGCAACCATGATGTTTGCTGGGAGGGAGGAGAGATCCCTGGAACTACGAGCTCAGGAAGCCCGGATCCATTTGGATTTTCTCTGGTGTTAAGGGATGATACGTGCTGTGTGTCATAGGATGCTGGAAGCCCACAGGACAGAGATGGGGTCCTGGATGGACATGCCCCACCCCCGGCCCCATGGGCAAATGCTCACGTTGTAGCCTTTCTCCTCCTCTATCTCCGGAAAAGCTGTTTATTGATGAGTGTGGGTTATTATGCGATGGGTCGGGTGGGAGGTAAATGCTTATCTTGGATCAGTAGAAGGTGTTGCCATGAAGAAGGGGTGGGGAGGGTGGTTGCTTTTGTGAAAATGTGTGAATGTGAGGAGGGCACTGCTGGCTCCATAAGGCTCATGAGCCACAGAGTCTCCGATGCCAGGACTGCTTGAGTGAGGACAGGATTTTGGCACTAACTGCAAATACACAGGTCATTCTAAGCCCTCGGACAGGCCTCCCAGGGGACGCCTTCACCCTGTCCCCTGCCCTGGGCCCAGCATAACCAAGAGCCCACACGTGTGCACAAAGGGCCACCACTCCCGGCTCAGTACCCGAAGATCTTGTTGAGCATGTTGGCCACGAAGTGCTCTTCCTCATAGCTAGCCAGGCTCAGCAGCTGGGCCCCCAGGTCCCGGCAGGCTCTCTGGGCCTGGACCCAGCTCTTCTTGTCCTGCAGCCGCTCCAAGCTGAACACCTACAGGAGCAGAGTCCACTTGTCTATGCTGTTCCCACTGTCCTACCTCCCCAGGAGATACCTGCCCTCCCACGATAGCAGTGGGGAGGCGGCTGGGGCCTCACTGGACAGTCCTGCTCACTAAGACACTCCTGCTCACCAGAGAAGGGGCTCAGGGAAGGGAAGCAGGCACAGCCAACTCCAATAGGACGCCTGCTGCCCGGCGCCCCTGACTAGCAGATCAGGACCCTCATCCCAGTGGAGCCACAGTTTACTGTGGGCAAGTCCCTTTCCCTTCCCTAGACTCCTGTTTCTTCATATAATAAAATACCTGTTTACTGTGGGCAAGTCCCTTTCCCTTCCCTAGACTCCTGTTTCTTCATATAATAAAATACCTTGGACTATATTAGTGGCTCCTCAATCTGGCAGGGCTTAAAAATACAAATTCCCAGGCCCCACCCTAACCTACTGAATCCAGGTCTCCATAGTGGCAGCCTAGAAGATTTTATTTTTATTTTTATCAGGCTCTCCAAGCGATTCTGAAAAGCAGCCAGCCTCACCTTCAAATTTGGGAACCTCTGAAACCTATGATTTCTATGATTTCTCCGATTCCTCAATTGTTGATAGACCACCTAGTAGGTGCCAGGCCTCAGATTCCATTGACAACAGTTTCTTTGGGAATTACCTCTGTCTGCAGTCTGCTGTGGGGAAAGTGTCCCCAGGGGCCCACCTGCTCCCCCCATGCCAACAGGCCACCTACCTTATAGCAGTGCCGGAGTTTGGGGTCTGAGGCCCAGCCCTGGGGACAGGAGCCGGTGAGGCTGGGTGTAGGGTCTGGCCCAGGCAGTTCAGGGGTCACTGGCGTGCCCAGGCTCTGCCGGCAGATGTAGCGAGCCCGGAACACAGTGCAGTTCTTCACTTCCCACAGCCCCATGGCACTGCCCGTGGCCAGGGCCACACAGCCCCCACGGCTGTACCCTGAAGAAGGGAGAAAGGAACCCCACATTCTTGGAGGACTCAGGGTCTGGCCTTCCCTCACATCCCCAAGAGGCACCACTCCAGCCCTCATCTCTGCAGGGACCCACTCTCCAGGAGGAAGGAAATGGAGGTGGAGTACCAGCTCTATGTCTGCTCCTGTGAGATCTTAGGCAAGTTGCTTAACCTCTCAGCCTATTTCATCATCTACTGCAACAGGTTATCGAGAGAGTTAAAAAAGACAGCATGAAATGGTAATAATCACAGAAAGCACTTACACCGTGTAAACCTCACATTAACCCTAGGAAGAAAGAACCATTATCCCCATTTGACAGCTGAAGAAACTGAGGCTCCAAGATGCACAGCTAATAAGCAGCAGATGGGCTGGGTGGTTATGGCTCAGAGCCTGTGCTCCTAACATCTTCACCGAACGGTACGAAGGTGAATGCACTGGGAAGCCCTGGGCCTCCCCGGGCAGAGCAGGTCCACTGTGGCTCCCAGCCTGACAGAGAGTGAAAGAAGGGGGCTGACCGAGGGCCCAGAGGAGGCGCTCACCAGGCTGGTCCCGGTTCCAATGGGTGTACATGACCTCATCCCCACTGAGCCAGCGGAAGGAACCGGTGCTGTTGAGGTCCTGCAGGGCGGTCCAGAAGTACTCGCCGTCCCAATTGTAGATGAGGCTGCTGACAAAGGCCTGCTCGAACCTGGGAGAGAGAAGCTGGTCAAGGCAGGAAGCTCGTCCCCACTACTCCCTGGGCCACAGGCCAGATGCCCTGCACTAGGGTGTTGAGCCTGACCAGGTACTTGCTCAGGGAAGTGGGGTCCCTGTAGCTGACACTCAGCAACCCAGCTTTCCCTCTACCTTCTGAATCCCTGTGCCTTGCTGAGAACAGAGGAGATAAGACACAGCTGAGGCCTCTCCTGTACATACAGCCCCACATCCACACTTGTTCCTGCCCTGCCCAGGCCCTGCCCCACACTGGGGTGGCTTAATAAACAGGATTCATTCCTATGAAAATATTAGAAAAAGGCCCTGAAGCCAGTTAAGGCTCAAAGGACACAGGTTCCTCTCTGCTTGACAGCAGGATGCTACCCCATTTGGTAGAGGGACCACGTTAGGCCGGGACATGGAGCGCCCACCACCCCAGTACCTGTTGGTGATGGTGACCAGCTGAGAGCCGTGGTCAGTGCAGAGGCGCCGGGCCTCACTGTAGGTTGCCTGGTCCTCTCCCAACCAGTAGCAGGATGGGCTGTGCCATGTCCAACCCTGGCTCGAGAGAGCAGGCAGAAGAGGGACGTCTGTGGGGAGGACTCTCCTCCACCCATAAGTCCTGGGGTGGGGAGATGTCACCTGCGGCACGCCCAGGGGGCTGTGGGACAGAGCGGCCTGGGTGACACCACAGACAGCTCTTCCTGTTCTGTGACCTGTGCCTTGTCACTCCCCATTCCCCCCACTACCGTTCCCCACAGCTGCCAGACCATTGGTGGGAGCACGGCCCCAATCAGGAGGCAGCTAGTGACCTGGCCACGGCCTGGTGAAGAAAGACAAACGGCCTATTCGGACTCCTCTCTCGGGCATTTAAACTGAGAGGCGCAGCGGGAAAATTGCCAGTTGGCTGAGAAACCAGGGCCGAAAAGCTGGGAGAGCTGCCAGGATGTGGAGGGGGCTGGTGAACCTCAGGAGCTTGGAAAAGCTGGATTAGGTGAGGATGTGCCTAGACTAGGCGGGGAGGGGGGAACAGAGCCTCAGCAAGGGGCAACAAAGCCATGGAGGAGAGACCACTGCTCCTGAGCACCTGGCCCCCTACCATCCGTTCCCCACACACCCCATAGACAGCCCCCCTGTGCCACCCTGAAGGGCTCTCTGCTCCAGCCTTGCAGAACAGGACCTGAGGCTCAGAGCAAATAAGTGACTTGACTTTGCACACAGACACTGCAAGGCAGAGCCCCATATCATGAAGGTGCCTGTCCTCACCACAGCCCTGCTCCTACTGTGGGGACACTAGCTGCCTGCAAAGACCGTCACCTCCAGGGAGCCTTGAAGTGAGAAGCCTTGGGCTGGGCTTGAGGTTGAGAGAGACACAGCCTCCTGGGCAGGAGCCAGAGCAGAAGAGAGCTGGTGTATGTGTGTGCATGCGTGTTGGGGGCAGATCCCTGTACACTCAGCAGGGCTGTGCTAAGACCCTGGCTCTCCCACAGTGCTAACTGGCCACTCAACCTCCCACACACGGTCTGCTCCCTCCCACCTCCACCTCACCCAGGCCAGGCAGAGCTGCAGTGCCAGCTGCTGGCCATGTTGGGCCCCCAGACTCTTCAGCTGGGTCCCTGTGTGCACTCCCCCTCCACCTCACTGGGGGGCATGCCTGTGGGTGTTTCCTGCTCCTCCCCTGGGGGAAAGTTTGGGGTGCAGGTCAGGTGGGTGTGGTAAGGGGCCTAATCCAAAGGAAAACAGAGTGAGGGGCCAGACTGGCAGGCAGGGTCAGGTGGCTGGAGGGTGGCCTCAGCACCACAGACAGAGACATCAGCGGCCAAAGCACCACAAAGTGCCCTTTATGAGCAGCTTCCCCGTAGACAGCCACACCACTCACACCCTGCTCAGCTCGGGGCCTGGAGGGGGCAAGGGGCCATCCATCTCTCACCCTCATTTATCCCCCCATTCAGGCCTAATCTCTACCCTCCCTGAACATCTTCTGGAAGCCCCTGGGGCTAGGCACACAGGAGGGAGACACCAGAGTGGCCTCATTCCCAGAGGGGACAAACAAGCACACACTGTATCAGATGGTGTGGTGTGTGCCTGCAAAGACAGAGGTGGCAAAGCAGGACTAGGGGTGAATCCAGGCAGTCTCCACTCAGGTGATGACTGGGCCAGACCTGGGGGCCGCCCATGCCCCCTCCTGCTCTCTGCTGCCTCTAGGAAGTGGCTTCCCCAAGAAAAGAGGGCTTGGGGCAGGGGGTGGTTCCTCCCAACAGCCCCCCACCCCCACCCCACCTCATCCAACATCACTCCTGGAACAGAACAGTTCTGAGCGCAGGAGGAGGGGGTGTGCCAAGGGAGGCGGCAGGATTCCCCTCTGGCCGGCCCCACCCAGGGGCAGCTCCAGAAGCACCCTCACCTTCCGGCAGCCGTGGTCCTCCTCGGCCACCCCCTGGCTTAGCTGGCCCGCCTTCTTGCAGATGGATGGCAAGGACTGGTTGCAGGGACTATCGTTCCAGCGACCTTCCTAGGGACACAGGGTGAGGGAGAGTCTCAGCAGCCCCAACCCCTTGGCAAACCTGGTTTCTAGACCTGGCCCTGCCTCTTGACTTGCTGTGTGGTTCTGGGCAAGATGCTTGACCTCTCTGTGTTCCAGACTGCAAAATGGGGAGAGCAGGATGAGTTATCTAAGCCCCCCAAGGCCGATGAGAGCACAGAGTTGAGATGCAAATGCCTTGAAACTTTGACAAGCCCTGTCTAAATGGGAAAAGGTGCACTTTTAAATACTTATAGCTCATCTCATAAACATCAAGGACAAACTGGCTAAGACTGTTAGTGTAGCCAAAGGCAGGATAGGCGTATGAGACCCTAGTCTACAAGGTGTCCAGCCAGTACCTGCAAGTCCAGGATAAGCAGAGGCTGTGTGCCCAGACCTGAATCTCGGCTGATGGAGCTGAAGAGGAATTGAGTCCTTGGCCCCACCTAACCAGCTTAGGCCTCCTGCATCCGCAGCCTCCCGGCGGAACGCAGGGCAGAGGTGTTTGTGCGTCCCAGCCCCCAGGAGAATACCTGGCACAGGGCACACTCAACAAATAACTGTCTCTAACTTTTTAAAAATAGCATCCCTATGCCAGATGGCTCTGTCTCTGCAGTCCCTAGCTCTGCAGTATCTCACAGCAGAATGTCCCATCTGTCCTTAGAGTAGAGTCTGTCCCTCTGGCTTTGCCCCTTTTTAAAGGGTCTTTTGCCTTTACTTAAAGCCCTGCACCAGTTCCTTCATCTACCCACGCTGCAGCTTTTCCCAAGCAATGGCAGGTAGGCATCACCGCATAACTTCTTGGGGAGACAGGGCCCTGGGGTGGGCAGGGCTGGCACAAAGCAGCCCTGCCTGGGGAGCATGTCCACATAATGTGGGTTCTGATGCCACCTGCTGGCGGGGAAGAGCAGCTGGGAGGAGACCAAGACCACACCAGGCAGCAAGCAGCCTGAGGCTTCACGAGATTGAATTCCTTTGATCCTCCCAATGACCCTCTGAGGTTTAGCACCATTAGTGTGCGGTGACAGATGAGGAAACTGAGGCACAGATGAGGAAAAGAGAGGTTAAGTAACTGGTCCAAGGTGACCCAGCTAGTTTGGGGAGGAAGAGGGAGATTCAAGCCCTGGTGATCTCGCCACGTGGAAGTGAAGGAGTTGGTGGCGAAGAGGGGGCTTCCGAGGGGCAACAGGTGATGTTATAGGCAAGGGCTGAGAATAGGACATCCTTCTGCTGGGGAAGCACCAGGGGGTTGGGGAGAGGGGGCTCTCACCGGTCCCCAGATGGTGACACAGTCCTCTAGGCTGTCCCGGAAGTTGTTGGGCTCAAACGGGTGCCAATGGGTAAAGCTCACAAGGCTTCCATCAGACCACTCAAAATTCATTTGCAGTTTCAAATCGTTGAGGCCAATCCACAGCTCCTCCACCTCTGGGAGTGCAGCAGGAGAGAGGGATAGAAGACATAGGGAGGTCAGCCTCACCACCCCGCGATGGGTGAAGGGACAATCCCTGAGCTGAGCAGGATGGGAGGGGCAGGAGGGGGGCCCTGGCCCCAGCCTGGAGGTATGGACGGCAGCCCCTGACCTTGCTTGATCTGCTTGGTGATGAACTCCAGCTCGGCCACGCTGTGGATACTGAGCAGGTCGCCCCCGCCTCGCAGGCACGCCTTCTTGGACTCCTGCCAGCTGCGCTTCTCAGCCTGCAGGCGGTAGCAGTGGCCCCGGAAGGGCTGCCAGCCGGGCTCACACTCCACCTTCACATTGGCCCACACGTCTGCAGAGGTGCACGAGGCTGCTGCTCAGGGACTGGGTCACCCAGCCTGGGCACTGACCTACTGGGTGTCAACTCAGGCAGAACACTGAAGTCACCTCCTCCCCAACCCTGTACTAGATCAGCCCTTCGCACCGGTACAGGTCTGCATGCTGAATTAAGCTGAAAAGACAAAGCCTTTCCAGGGCTACTGGTGGCCCAGAAGGCGAGCCCCAGGCGGTGGGGGCAGATTCAACCCAGGACAGGACTGTCCCTCCAGCAGGGGCTCTCAGAAAGAGATGGGAAGGGATGCAGGACAGACCAGCCCTGGGAGCCTCAGTTTCACCCTCAGTAAATGGGGTTCCCTGCTGGAAGTCTTCTGAATGCCCAACTACCTGGCTTAATAAATGAAATCACCATCATTGTCTCGAGTTACACCCATTAAAGCCCTCCGGCCCAGCAGTCTGGGATGAAGGGTGCAGGGAAATGAGGTCCCCCAGGTTGGTGGCTGTGAAGTCACTGCTGACTGGCTGGCATCCCCTGGCTGGGATTCTTCCTCTTGCTCTTCCCCCACCCCCAGCTCCTCTCCTGCCCCCCATGGCTGAGAAGTCAACCAGGCCCAGGCCCTTCTTCCCCCAACTTCTATGCATTTCAGGTTTACCCTCTAGGGATGGGGGTCTGAGAGCAGCTGAGGCAAGCCCTCACCTGGGTCTTGGCAAGAGAAAACAAGACTTTACCAAACCACCCACAGTGTCAGGCTCAGGCAGGATCCTGCCCAGCCAGGCAGGAAAGCGTGTGCTTACTTGAAGCATCATCCCAGTCTGGGATTCCGGGAGATGCTCTGGGGTCTGGCCATACCATTTCTTGGAGACCTTGTAAAGTGGGTAGGGTTGGGAGCCTGAGTGGGCTCACTCTGTGGCCCAGGACCCGTCAGTCATCTCTTGTCGGCCCCTGAGCTATGACCCAAGGCAGTGGCCCAGAGCCAGTCTATGGCAATAAAAGGTCAGAAGCAGAAGTTCCCCTCTGTAACCTCTTAATTTCCTGGAGGATTGTGGATTTTTTTCTGGTTCTGATGTATTTTCCCTCTAGAAATCTCCTCCCCACCATTCCCACAGCTATTGGACTAGTTCAGAAACCCCTCTACCTACAGTAACAGTCCTTTGCCACATAAGGAGAAATGCTCCTTTGGGCCAGGCCAGGACTCCTGACTTAGAGCAGCCCTGCAAGGGATATGGGTTCATTCTCAGTTTGCACCTCAGACACTAAGCTGCTTGCCCAAGACTGCACAACAGTTTAGGGGCACAGTCCCTAAAGCAGGGCCCGGCCTCACCCCCAACTCCTCCACGAGGCCCCTAGAGCTATCCCGTGAATCACAAATTGGATCAAGACACTCCCTGGCTTAAAAATCTGTGAAGGCTCCTGAAGCCCCACCCAAACTTGGCCCAGCAGCCAAGACACTTCAGTGACTGGCTGCAACCTGCCTTCTGAACTGTTCTCCTTGCCCTGCGCTCTAAGCCAGTGCTTCTCAAACTACCTGCCCACGAACCGCCTGAGGATCTTGTGACATGCAGGTTCTGATTCACCGTATCTGGAGGGGGGCCTGAGATGCCGCATTTATAACAAGCTCTCAGGTGATGCTGTGCTGCTGGTCCAAGGACCCCACTTTAAGTAGATTCTATACTCCACCCAGACTGCAATACTCATCCTTAAAGCCGCTCGTCCTGCTGTGCCTCCACACCTTTGCACATGGGGTTGGGGTTCTCTCTGCCAGAATGCCCTTGCCTCACGCCTCTTTATGCCTTTTTAAACTTACACTTGACTTGAAAGGCCCAAATCCAATGTCACATCCATGAAACCCTCCTTAACTCTCAGAAGCTTCAATCAATTTCTCCCCTAGGCATTTCTTCTCACTTTTATTACACATATTTTTATAACAGTACATAACTCAGAATGTTCCAACTGTGTGTTTAGATGTCTGTTACCTCCAGCAGACTGTGACCGCCACAAGGACACAGAATTGCCAGCATTTAACACAGTTCTCAACAAATGTTCCCTGAGTGAATTATCAGCACATCACAGTTTGTTCAGACTTTAGTGGAACCGCTAAGCAAGAATGGAGAGGATCCGAATCCCCTTGTGCTGGGTGGCTGGGCCCTGCTGAGCCCCACCCCAACCCTGTGGCCCCCACCCACGCTCACCGGGAGGCGGGGGCTCTGCGGTGGCGTTGGGCTTCTTCTTGCACACGTAGGGCAGGGCAGTGCTGCAGTCGCGGTTCTGCCAGCCACCAGAGGACTCCGTGCGGATCACGCCACAGTTCTCCTCACTTGGGTTGTCCGGCTGATCTGTGGGAAGGGCAGAGTGCCAGCACCCCAGGAGAGAGAAACTCATACCCTGGCCCCTAGAGGCCTGAGAACCTCCTGCTCCCTCGGAAACTCAGCCAGCTGGAGATGCCCAGTACTCCGCTCTGGCTGCCCTCACTGGGCACCACAGGGTCCTCATTGTTTTCTCACCTGGGCCCACAGCATCCTGAACCCTCACCCAGCAACTGGTACCAGCCCCACTCAGCCTCCCTGGCCAGCCTGCTGGTCCCTGGGTGCCCTGATGCCTGTGGCTGAAGGGAGTGAGCAGGGGCCGAAACCTAGTCCTCTCCCCAAAGCCCTGAGAAAAGGGCACCAGGTCCTAGTTCACACAAAGGGGCTGCCTGGGTTGGTGGGGCCCAGCTCAGGATAGGGTGGAATTCTGTCCCCACCCCACACCACCACTTCCTGGAGTACCATACAAAGCAAGGAAGAACTAGTGGGCCAAGTGCCTGTGGCGTCCCCAGGGCCCCCTGCGCCTGGCGCCTCACCACTCTCCCAGTTGAGGTACTTCAGGGGTGAATGATCTGACCACTGCCAGCCTCCACTGGTGTCCAGGTCATTAAGGCCAATCCACAGTGTGGAGCTATAGCCGGTGAGCAGCCCTGACAGCAGAGCAGCGACAGTGAGAGGGGGCTGCCCCGTGCTCAGCCCTCCCACTCTCAGCCCCACAGTGGCATCCTTACTCCACAGGCAGGGGCGGGCCTTGGGCTCCTGCTGCCCTGCCCCCGCGGTGGGTCAGACCCTGGCCCATCCTCCCGGGCCCCGGGGCTGCCTGGCCCTCACCATTGATGTAGGTCTGCTCATGGATCTCAGTGATGCTCAGCAGGTCTGCGCCCTGCTGCTCGCAGCTGGCCCAGGCCTCCCTCCACGACAGTGTGGACTGGAAGTTAAACTGGTAGCAGCTGTCAGTCAGCTGATCCTTGTCCCAGAAGGTCTCACAGTCATTACCTGCCACCATGACAGCCAGGCATGGGTCCCTTCCCAGTCTCCTCCTTAGGGACCCACACGGGGGCCCCTCAAGGAGTGCACAGGCACCACACTGAGAGGAGGGGCAGCTTCTCACCCGGGGGCACCTACACTGAGGCCCCCCACGCCCAGCCGCCCTCCAGGGGCCACCCTGCACTCCCCGCTCCACCCGGCTGCGCTCACTCTTGATGGGGCAGAAGCCCCAGCGCTCGTCTTTGCCGTAGTCCTGGGTGGTGGCACACCACAGGTGCCCGTCCTCGCGGCCTGTGCTGGTGCAGCTGTGGAACCACTGGTTGTCATACTTGAAGGGGACAGTGCATGGCTTCCCATGGGAGTTTCCCTGGATGGTGTAGACCTCTGCAGGGGGGGAAGCCAGGCCCTTAGCATCGGACCCCAGAGGCTGCCCACCCCTTCACCCCTCTGGGAAGTCCTCTATAACCCTGGGAGTGGAGGGTGGGAAGGGGTCAGCAGAGAGGGGGTGGGGCAGTAGGGCCACAGTGGCTTTAAGGCTCCCTCTGCCATTAGGTCTGCCCAGGCGCCTGGCAGAGGCCCAGCTGCTCATCCCATAGCGCTGGGAAGGGGTTTCCCCAAGGCCTTGAAGGCCTGTCCAAAATCCTGCTGCCCCTCCCCCAAGTTCCGTCTTGGAACCAGGGTGGCACACAGTAAAAGGACCTCCTCCCAGGATGGAGCTGCCCACCACAAAGGCCCTTCACTAGGTGACTTGGGTCCATGATCACCCCTGCAAAATGGGGATCAAAACACCTGTTGGGGGTTGCCCTGGGGTTTCCCCTGAAGAGTGGGCCTGAGAGAAGGGAATTTTCATTTAATTTTATGTTATACATTTTTTGTACTGTTGGTCTTTATAAGCATGTATTAATTTTTTTATACAGTTAATGCTTTGATTAAATGCTTTGAACTTAATTATTCAAAAACGCTTCCCGTTACAATTAGAGATGCAACCACCGAAGGTCTGCAGAGAACAATGGCCTTGTCCCCGGGGATCTCCCTCTGAGGCTCCAGTCCCGACACCAAGGGCGCTACCCCTTCCCTGCAAGCAGCCTCTCACCATAGTATGGCCGAGCGCAAAGATCCTCTTCACTGCCATAGATGCGCCACTGGCCACTGCGGGTCTGGTCACCACGCTCAGATGCACCAGCCTTGGACATGTTGCCAGCGCGACCCCCCAGGAACAGGGAGAGCTGGTCACCCAGGGTGCGGCAGTGCCAGCGAAGACTCAGTGCCTCCCGGTCACATTCGTACATGCCCAGGGTGGCCGTGGTGTTGGTGCCCGGCCAGCCTGTGCCCAGGCACTGCATGATACCCAGATTGAAGAGCCGGTTTCGGGAGACCCACTTCCAGTGCTGGGCAGGAAGACTGGCATTGCAGGCTAGAGTGATGCGAACTTGCCCTCCCTGGGCCTCCAGGCACCCCTGCAGTCCATGGCTGAAGATGAGGAAGACACTGGGTTCTAGAAGGGAAAGCAGGACATGAAGCCATCACAGAGGCTCCCTGGCTAGCCCTTGATGGCCAGGGCTGCCTTCAGACCCTGACCAGGAGCCTGGTGCTGGATTGTCAGCCTTCTCTCCTATGTTACAGCTCTCAGTCTTCACTACTGACCCTGAGCCGGGGGCAAAAGGACCTGCTATCCGCTGTGTCCAGACAAGGCAGAGCCGGCAGGGCCAGCCTCTGTTCTAGCCCCATGCTCACCTGGAGGCAGGATTCAGCCCTCCACCCCACCCCCAAAAGCAAACCAAACTCCACACAGCAAGTTGGGTACTGGATACTTCTCTGAAGATCTTATGACGAGCAGTGGAGGCATTACATCACACAGCACATTGCAACTTTATCCCAATTGCTGTTATACAGTATGTTTTTTCCCACAGCTTAAGAAATTGAGACTTAAAGGTACAAAAAGTAGATTAGTGGTTGCCTGTGGCTGGGCTGGAGGTGACAGGAATGGGAGTGACTGCTCAATGGCAGGGTTTCTTTTGAAGTGATGAAAAAAATGCTCAGGAATTAGGTTGCTGCAATAGTTGCAAAATTCTGTGAATACATTAGAAACTAAGTGTACATTTTAAATGGATGAGTTCTTTGATATGAGAATTATATCTCTGTATGGCTGTTAGGGGTGGGAGGAGAAAGAAAGAATGAAAGAAAGGAAAAAAAGAAAAAATCAATGAATGAATGGCAGGGTAGAAGGGAAGAAAGAATGGAGGAAGGGAAACTAACTGAGGTTTAGAGACATGAGTGACCTCCTCACAGTATCACACAGCCAGTAAGCAAACCCAGGTCTTTCTGCCATCCGCCTTCTACTTGTTCCCCAACTGCCGCTTAAGTACACAGCACACACACATGGCACACCCCAGTCTCCAAAGAACTTTGGCATCCATCAGCCACTAGCCCCTCTGGATCATGTTCATTTCTTAAAAACATGAATCTGACCACTAAGGTTCAAATCACAGCTCTGCCACTCAATGTGTGACTTGGGTGAAGTGTGCAACTTCTCTGTGACTCAATTTCCTCATAAGGCTATTGTAAAGTTTAAATGAGGTAATACAAGTGTTTGGAACAGGATCTAACACATGGTAAGAGCACTATAACTTATTATTATTATTTTATGTTATAAGTAAAAAAAACATTGACTAATGGTGGTGAAATGATGTGACTAATTACAAGGCTGGACAGAGATAGAGCTGAAATCTGGACCTCGTCTTCTGAGTCCAGGCCCCAAGGTCTTTCTGTTCTACCACATTGGCCTTGTTATCCTTCCATAGGCCATTCTCCACAGTCAGCCAGAATGATATTTTAAACATGTAAATAAGTTCCAAAAAAAATTTTTTTTAGTAATATTGGAGTGTTGAAGGTCATAAAGAAAACAGTGATGAATTCAATGACATGATTTTTTTCATGGCAAGAAAAATGCCATAAATGAAGTCAAAACTCAAATGACAAATATATATGTAAATGTAATTTATTAGAGGAAAATAGTTTGTTCCCTAATATAAAAAAAGCTTCTACAAAAAACATAATAGATTATGAAGAAAATAACAATGTAGTAGACAATGAGTAAATTTATGTACACACAGCTAAAACAATGAAATGCAATTGGTGCTTAAGTACTTGAAGCAACATCACTCATATTAAAAGAAAAAACAACATTAAGTCAGGCAAATCTCTGTCCTGCCTGAAGTATTTCAAAGATAATTCATCACCCTTCAAATAACATTTAAACTCTTTACTGTGAGCCACAGGAGCTTACACGGTCTGGTCCTGCCTACTAGTTTGATCTTGGATCATATTACTCCTCTTGCTCAAGTCACATTGATCTCTTTGGTCTTCCTTGAACAGGCCTGGTTCTTTCCTGCCTCAGGGCCTTTGCACTGTTTCCTTTGCCTGCATTTCACATTTCAAAAAAAAGTCACATTTTTAAAAAGGCCCTCCCTGACCTAATGTAAAGTCGCCACACAGTTACTTTTTGACACATTGCTTGATTGTAATTCTCTTCACAGCATTTACTATTATCTGATTTTTTTTCAACATCTAGGTCATCTGTGAGTCTGCATCTACTAAGTATTTTTTCTCTTGATGATGGGTCACTTTTCCCAGCTGCCTGCATGTCTAGTAATTTTTGTTATATACTGGACATTGTGGATAATGTTATAAAGTGTCTGTCTAGATTTTTTAAATTGTATGTGGGATATCGTGGATGACATGTTATAGGGAGTCTGGATTTTTTTTTTTTTTTTGGTCTTTCTAAAAAGAATGTTGAGTTTTGTTCTGGCAGGCAGTTAAATTACTGGTGGATCACCTTGATCCTGCAGAGACTTAGTTTTAGGCTTTGTTAGGGTGGGGTTGCTTGGGTTTTGCCTTTAGTGTTAGGGTGTGGCCCTTAGCCTTAGGGTTAATCATAAGGTGAGGCCTTTCTGGAGTTTCAAAGGGAAACCTTAGGCAATCACCAAGCCCCTCCAACTTGGTGGAACTTGAAATCCAAACTCTGTTTCCTCAACACCAGGAGGCAACTGAAACCTTTGCCCCCCAGCTGCTGTTTCTTGGTGGGAGGCCTCACTCTGCCTGTGCACAGTTTAGGAGCCCCAAGGACTGGGAATTGGTAGGAGGACATCTCTATGGCTCCTTGCTTTCCAGGATTTCCCTCTCAATTTTTAGCTTTTCTGGTAGCCCCAAACAGTAAAACTGCCACTTTCTGTTTGAGCTTCTCAAATAAGGCAGCGCTGTCGGTGGGGAAAGCTGCTTAAAGAACTTTTCTTTCAAAGACGGTTTCCTCCCCATTATCTGTTTTTGATTGCTCTTGAACCACTGTATTTTATATTTTATCTTTAGTCTGTCCATACTCTTGGCCAGAGAGTTAGACTAATACAAGCTACCTACCATTCCCAGGACCAGAATTCATTATCTGACACGTTTTTATTTTCTGTGTCTCTCCTCTTGTTCACAAGCTCCTGAGGACCTGCTCTGTCTTCTCCACCACTGTATCTTCAGTGTCTATAACTTAGCCTGACACATAGTAGTGCTTAATAAATACCTAGTGAAAAATGAATAAATGAATGAATCTCATGCCTAGATAACCACAACCAACCAGTCTATCTTTCTGCTCCTTGTCCTAGCTGCCAGATTAGTTTTCCTAAAACAGCACCCACAGCTCTTGTCGTGGAAGGTTCAAAACACCACAGCAGGAGGGCTGGTGGGTGGGACAGGGACACTGGCCACTCTGCTCTTGGCCAACACCAGGATGGGGTCCTCTGTGGGCAAGACACAGGTGACTTCCTGAAGAACCACTAGGGCAGCTGGCACAGCTAGCCCTCCCCATTCAGGGCCTCCCCTCAACCTGCTCTTTCCCTTCGCCACCCTCCAGAATCATAAACTAGCCCCAGCACTTGGTCCAGGCCTGTCCAAGCCTCCTCTAACCACTGGGTATTTGATTCCCAGGAACTGCACTCCAGTGAAGACCATCAGTAGTAACAGAGGTGGTCCTTGGCAGGGGGTAGGGAAAGGGCGTGGGACCGGAAAGGGGAGAAAAACAGTGCTTGCTTTTATAGATGCTTCTCAGATGACTGGACAATGTGGCCTAAAACGTCACAAGAGCCCAAAGCAGCCCAGGGAACAGCATTTCCCCTCCTTCTCAACCAGGAAACCCACACGTGGGCTAAAGCAATTCCAGCCAGCCCGCGCAGTCCTACCAAATGGCAAATGAAGGGTCCGAGAGGTCCACGTCAGCAGAGAGAGGCAATCCCATGACCAGGCCACCTTCCCTCAGTCGACAGATGAGGAAACTAAGGCCCAGAGAGGGAAGAGATTAGGATGCCCCATCACCGTACCTTTCAGCACTGTCCTAGTTTGGGCAAAACAGTGCATTTGCACATGGCAGGACACAAGGGCAAACACTCTTAAAATCCAGGTGTCTGGGGGCAGGGAGACTCTAAAGCACTGAGGATCTGCAGGAAGTGGGGAGAGGGGAGTAGCAGGTCACAGCACTGCCTCAGCAGCAAATGAAAAAAAGGACGAGGAATTTGGAAGCGGGGTCGGGGTGGGGGAGGCCTGCAGGAGAGGCACAAAGCAAAGGGGAGGCTGGGATGAATTCTTGGGGGTGGATGCTGAGGACTCTGCCAAGCTTGGGGCTGGAGGACTCTTGGGAGAGCATTTTCCACCCAAAGTTGAGGGGTGAGCCTGGGCCCTCAAAGAAAGGAGGCTGTTTATCCAGGGTCCAATGTAGGACGAGACCAAGCCCAGCCGGGGCCCAGCTGGAGATGCTAAGAGGAAAGGGAAGGGAATGAAAGCATTTTGAGAACTGACTCTGTGGCCTTTACACCCCTGCCCTGCTCTCAGCAAGCAGACATGAGGCAGCAGAGGGAGCTCATCCCAAGAGGGCCGCCCCAGTCCTACCCAGCTCTGGCCTCACTCCAAATGCCTGGGGGTATCAGGTGTCAGTTCAAGGACTGGAAGTGCCCCTCACAGATCTTGCATGTTCCTCACCGGGACAAAGATAACCTCTTACATTTTGTTGGCAACCACACCACACCTAGTGCAGTGTATCCACCAGGTTGTGGCTTATTCTGTGCTTGTTCAGTGGGTGAATAAGTGAATGAAGTGAGACAGGGAACTGTGCATTGGGTACCAACTGGATGTCATTTATTCATCCATTCAGCAAATATTTATTGAGAATTTCATATGTGCCAGGCCCTGAGGGTACAGTGATGAGCAATATAGGCATAATCTGGCCTATCATCACATGGTCTGGTAGGGGCTGGGATCTATGTGGGAGATACAGAGATAATAACAGAATCCTTGACCTCACTGAGCTGCCCATAATCTCTGGCCTTTGCTTTTGTCTGCCCAGTAAACTCCTCATCCCTTCTCCTTATTTAAAGAATTCTCCTGCACCTCTGGCTATGTGAGTGAGTACACTCCTGGCCAATAATAGTGTCCATGCCCCTGGTCCCAGTGATTGGGTAC